ACAGGTGGCCGAGTAGATAACATGTAGCCTTGAGATGTAGTCTACATGAACAGAGAGCAGGAAATAATATATCTCTATAAACTAGGCCTAAACTTGGCCTGTGTTGTTTTGTTGATAAATCACATAAGAGCTAAATAGGTTTTTATTTTTTAAGATTTATTTATTTATGCATACAAGAGCTGGGGTATAGGCCAGAGGTGGGGGTGAGAGGATTCACCAGAGACAGAGTGGGGAGCAGAAGGGGCAGACTGGCTGAAATACACTAAGGGGAACAGCGGGCCAGTCAGGAGAGGTCTGCTGCGCCATGTGGGTAGCTCCCTGGCAGGCTAGGGCTCGAATTCATGCTGCAGTGGCTACAGATTGCTTCGTAGTGCTGAGGCTTAACCCCTTGTGTCACCAGGGAGGCCCCAAGAGCTAATAGGCTTTTGTGGGCTTCTCTGGAGGGGGCTTCTCACAGCCTCTCACTGGCTGCTCACAGGGCACAAGGCAACTGCTACAAGCTCAGTTGTTCACATTTAGCCCCCTGGGGCTCCAGACACTGCCACTGTTGCTACCTGTGTATCTCCGGCTGCCTCGTGATAAATACTTGTTCTCGGCCCCACATTTTCTGACCTGTTTTCTCACCAGCCACCATCTAAAATCAGGTAAGCTTGTAACTTAGGCCCTAGACCTGGCGGTGAAGGTGGGATGGCACACAGATGAGGAGGAAACCTGACAACACTCGATGATGGACATTTCTGGAGTAGCGGTTGGTATAAGAAAATAAAGTCTTCCAGAACCAAAATATGTTCATCTTCTGTGCTGTGGAACAAATGATCATAAACTTAGGGGTTTAGAACATACATATCAACTCAATTTTTGTGGGTCAGAATTCTGGGCATAGCTTTTCTGGGCTGGCCAGGCTGCTTCTCATCTGAAGGCTCAGCTATACCTAGAAGAATCTGCTTCCAAGCTTCTCACAGCCTCTCACTGGCCACTCACAGTACAAGAGCCCCAACTGCCCCGGCTGGAGCCCCAACTCCAGTTGTTGCAAAATTTATCTCCTTGTAGCTGTATGACAGAGTCCCTCACTTTTTGTTTTGTTTTGTTTTAGTATTTTATTTTATATAATTCTAACATCATTTTTCATTTTTGCACAATGTATGCATTTTCATTTTGTTATATTCCCCATACAATTGCACCCCCCCTTATTTTGACCCTAATCCTTCCTCTCCCGCCCCCACCCCTATAGTGTGTCTCTGGTTTATAGTTGCTTGTTGATTTTGATTTTTACTTTGTATTAATTAGTCTTTTTCCTGGTCCCTTATTTAGGTTTTCTAGATTCCTGCTAAGAGTGAGACCATCCGGTATTTTTCTTTTTCTTTCTGACTTATTTCGCTGAGCATGATCCCTTCTAGCTCCATCCATGTTGCTGCAAACTGCATGTGTTTATCTTTTTTGATTGCTGAGTAATATTCCATTGTGTATATGTACCACATCATCTTGATGCCCTCACTTTTTGTAGCCAATCATTGGAAACCATCTTTAAATCCTACAGATTGCCCAAAATTCTTACCAGGTTTGTATCCCTCAACATAGCTACTTATTTCACCAAGACATCAAGAATCTCCTGCTCCAGTCTACTAACATGGAATTTTATACAATGTGATATAATCACAGGAGTAACACCCTCATCCCCTTTACCATATTCTATTGGGTAGAAGCCAGTTGAAGGTCCTGTCTGCATTCATAGGGAGGGGATCACACAAAGGCGTGGATATGGGGAAATGGGGAGTCAGTGGTGTTGATAGTCACTGTATGGTGTGTTTGCCACACAAGTCAAGGGAGCAGGGGATGCAGGAATTGCTTATAGTCAAACCAAACAGATGATAGGGTCCTGGAAAAGCTGGAAAGAACAGCAGGTGGAGCCAGTGGTCATGGATCCAGTTCCTGACTGTGTCATTAACCAAATCATAGCCAATTACCTTTTTGGACCTCAATTTTCTTATGTTACAAATGAAATGAGATAGGAGAGGTAGTGTAGGGTAAATGAAGATTGCTCAGGCTTTTACACTGTTGGCCTTGTGTCTGTCATCTGCAGCCTTGAATGCAGAAAGCGCTTGGCAGCGTGGGCTCGGGGTACGCATGCCCAATGGACACCTGGAGTATGGTGTGGGCATGTGGAAGGCCACACCTGAGCTGAGAGGCTGTGCCTATAAGGGTGTGGCAGAGGTCAGTGCAGGGGTGAACAGCCATGAGAGGAAGAGACTGTGAGTCTACACCAGAGAGAGCCCAGAGTAAAGATTCGTGGAGGGCTAGGAGGCCTGCCCCTCTGCCTGCTGGTGCCCGGTTGCCGCACTACAAGTGGCTTAGAAAGATCACTAAAAGCCTGGAAATGCCATTGAGGGCTCCAGGACTCTTCTTCTTCTTCTTCTTTTTTTTTTAAATACTGCCTCGTGGTTTTTTTTTTTTTTAATATTTATTTATTTATATAAGCACTGGATACAGTCAGAAGCATGGGAGGGTGAGAGGATTCACCTGAGCCAGAGCGGGGAGCAGCTTCACAACCCAGCGCTCAACCGCTGCGCCACTGGGGAGACCCACCAGTACTCTTCTTTACCCTCTGCCTGGATCCATAGAGAACCTAACCTGTGCTTGCGTCCACTAATAAAATAGCATGGAGCTCAGTTGTTCACATTTAGCAAAAACTAGAAATGATTGCACACAAAACTTGTAAATTCATGATAGTTTATTCTCAGTCCAGAAGAGCAAACATTAATTCAAAAGGATACCTGCACCCCATGTTTATTACAGCAGTATTTGCAATATGTAAGCTATGGAAACAACACAAATGCCCAAAAATAGATGACTGGATCAAGAAGATGTGGTATATATACACAATGGAATACTATTCAGCAATTAAAAAAGATAAACTCATGCCATTCACAGAAACATGGATAGAGTTGGAAGGGATTATGCTCAGTGAAATAAGACAAAAGGAAAAAGAAAAATATCGGATGGTTTCACTTATAGGAGGAACATAAGGGAACCAAATATGGGATCAGGAAAAAAAACCCAATAATGGGCCTCCCTGGTGGTGCAGCGGTTGAGCGCTGGGTTGCAAAGCTGCCGTAGCCTCTGCAGTGCTGGTTCGATCCCCGGCTGCTCCCCGGCCACCGGAGGAGGGTCCCACATGCGCACAGACCTCTCCTGCTGCCCGCTGCTCCCCTCAGCAGTGTATTTCATCAGTCTGCCTGTTCTGCTCCCTGCTCTGACTCTGGTGAATCCTCTCACCCTCCCGCGCTTCTGACTGTGCCCAGTGCTTGTATAAATAAATAAATAAATCTTTAAAAAAAAATTACTTTAAAAAAAAAAAAAACCAATAATAATAAATAAATAAAGTTAGAAGGCAACTATAAATCAGAGACATTCTGCAAGGGAGTGTGTGGTAGAGGGATCAAAACATGGTAGAGAAGAGCACAAGGGATTATGGTGATGATTCATGGGTGAATTGGTGGTGGGAATTTTATGGTAACTATACCTGAGAGGAGAAAGCATACATTGTACAAAAATAAATGATGATGTGTGTGTATATATATATATATATATATTATATATATAAAGGAAAAAAATGAAGCTTGGCATAATTAAAAAAAATAATGTGTCAACTTGGTCACAGGACACCCAGCTGTTTGGTTAAACATTATTTCTGATTACATCTGTGAGGGTATTTCTGGATAATCCTGGAATCAGTAAATTGAGTAAAACAGACTGTCATCCAATTTGTTGAAGGGTTGAATAAAATAAAGACTAAGTAAGAAAGAATTTTATCTCTCTGCCTGACAGTCTTCAAACTGGGACACTGTATTCTCCTGCCTTTGGCATCAAACTCAGATTGGAACTTAAACCATCAGCGCTCCTGGTTCTCAGGCCATCCAACTCAGACTGGAACCACATCATCAACTCTCCAAGTCTCCAGCTAGCTGGATGCAGTTCTTGAGATTTCTCGGTTTTATAGTCAAGAGAGCCAATTCCTTATAGTAAACCTTTTTAGAGAAAAATACAATACCCTTGACAAAATAATACTATTCCTGGAATTTCATTCTAAGAAAATGTAGAACTTAAAAAAATTTTGTAAAGCAAGGTATATATACAAAGTTTTTAACCATAGTTATTTATAATAATGAAAAACTAGAAATAATATACACGTTTAACAATTGAGGAATGGCTGAATAGATTATAGTGTATCTGTTTAAAAGGAAATCATGAAGTCATACTGTAATCATGAAGACTATGTAGTAACAGAAGAGTTTATAATTAGATGTGAACATATTTTTTAAAAGCAGAACATTAAATTATATAAACACTATAGTTATAATGCAAAAAAAATAAACAACGAATGAAATCCATGTTTGGGTTATGGTACAAACAATTTTTTATGATACTCCTTTACCAATAAAACATTTTTAAAAAACAGTAAGTCAGGAGGATTGAATTAATAGTGGTTTTTAACTGGAGTAGACTTTAGGATTTAAAATACTTATAACTAGAGACACACTATGGCGGCAGGGCGGAGGACCCGGGGAGAGGAAGGATTAGGGTCATAATAAAGGGGGGTGCAATTGTATGGGGAATATAACCAAAATGAAAATGCATACATTGTGCAAAAATGAAAAATGATGTAAGAATTATATAAAATAAAATATTAAAAAAGAGTAAAAAAATAAATAAAATACTTATAACCATGTTCTACTTTGTGAAAATTCTAAGATGGGTATAGGGCACCTATTATGTTTTAAAGCACTCACATATACATGCCATCCCAAATAGGTGATTCTGATACATATTGAAAAGCAAATTCTCAGCATAAAGTTGCACACATTAAAGGATCAATGCCAGTGATGAGCATGACATTGTTTATGAGGCACCTCATGCAATGGAGAGCAGGCTATCCTTGTAGGCATCTGGCCTGCTGCACACACTGTCACTAGATCTTATGACTTGAAGGGAATCTGAGGCACCGCTCTCTGAGCCAATTTCTCCATGAGGCGGAAAGCCTCCAGGAACTCAGTGATGGCGATGTGGCCATCTTTACTGAAGTCAATGCTCCGAGCCAGGCCACAGATGCAGTCATCTGTGATGTCAATGTTCATATGAGGGCGAAAGAGCTTCCGGGTCTGCCCGAACTCGTCCAGGGATATGAGCCCTTACCAGAGAGAGGAAGTAATCTCCGTGAGTCAGTTTAGTTTCCAGTGTTCATTTCCTCTTTAGGACATATGGTTCCTTTTCGGAATCATACAAAAACACCCAAGACCTGCTATCTAGTTTAAACTACCAAGAGTCCCACAAAACTAGTAGATCACAATTGGCTCTCAACTGGGAACAACTTTTGCTTTGTCCCTCTTGAGAATATTTGGCAATATCTGAAGACATTTTTGAATGTTACAACTAGGGTGGAAGTAGGGTGTTACAGGCATCTAGGAGATAAAGGTCAAGGATGCTGCTAAATGTCCTATAATGCACAGGCTAGACCTTAAAACAATTATTCAAACCAAAGTGTTAAGGTACCCTGAATAGTCATTCCAAGAATATACTAATTTATTCTGCTTATAAAAACAACTTTGAACCCATACACTTATGATCAATTGATTTTCTACAAGGACTCCAAGACCACTCAATGGTGAAAAATAGTTTTTCAACAGATGGTAGGGGACAACTAGAATCCACATGTGAAAGAATGAAGCTAGATTTCTACTGGCACTATAAACAAAAATTCAGTCAAAATGGATCAGACTTAACTCTAAGACCTAAATCTATAAAACTCATACAAGAAAACAGGAAGTCTTCATGACCTTGGATTACATGATGGTTCTTTAGATATGGTATCACAAGCACAAACAACAAAACAAAAAAGAAAAATTGAAATTTTTAAAATAAGAGCTTCTGTTAATCAAAAGATACTACCAAGAAACTGAAAAGACAACCCATGAAAACAAAGAAAATATTTACAAATCATTTATTTGGTGAAGCTATAGTACCCAGAACATATAAAGAAATTTCACAACTCAACAATTAAGGGACAAATAACCCCTGATAATGTGATGTCAAATGTCAATTTTTCAGGAAAAAAAAGAACAAATAACCTGATTAAAAGATAGGTAAAGGATTTGGATAGACGTTTCTCCTAAGAAGATATGCAAATTTCAATCAGCACATAAAAGATGCTCAAAATCACTAGTTATTAAAGAAATATAAATCAAAACCATAATGAGATACTCACACTCAGTAGGGTGGCTATTTTTAAGAGAAAGAAAATAATGTGCTGGTGAGAAACTTGCAGAAACTGGAAACCTCATACATTGTTGGTAAAAATATAAAATGTTATAGACACTGTGAAAAACAGGTTGGCAGTGTTTTGCCATGTGATCCAGCAATGGCACACCTAAGAATATAGTACAGAGAATTGAAAACATATGTTCACACCAAAAGTTGGAGATGAATGTTCATAGCAGCAGTATTCATAATAGCCAAAATGTGGAAACAATCCAAAATGCCTGTAAACTAGTGAATGGATAAACAAAATGTGGTATATCCACAGAATTGATAAGGATCCACTATAACAAGGAATAAAGAACTAATAAGTTACAATATGGATGAACCTTGAAAACATTATGCTAAGTGAAAGAAGCCAGACAACAAAGGCCACACACCATATGATTCCATTTATATGAAATGTTCAGAATAGGCAAATCCATAGAGACAGCAAGCAGATTATGGCTGCGGGGGGCAGGTGGAGAAGGGACAGGGAATGAACAGTGACTGTTATGAACACGAGTTTCTTCTTAGGGTATGAAAATGTTCCAAAATTAGATAATGATGGTGGTTATCAAAAATACTGTGACTTCTTTACAGACACATCACCCAAAGCAGTGATAGTGAAGGCAAAGATCTGCACAGCAAAAGAGACAATAACCAAAACAAAGAGAAACCCCACCGACTGGGAGAACATTTTTGCACACAACACTAATGATAAAGGACTGATCACAAAAATCTACAAAGGACTGATGAGACTCAACAACAACAAAGAAAATAATCCAGTCAAAAAATGGGCAGAAGAGCTAAAAAGAAACTTCTCTGAAGAGGAAATGCAAATGGCCAACAGGCATATGAAAACATGTTCAACATCACTTGTAATCAGGGAAATGCAAATCAAAACTACAATGAGATACCATCTTACACCAGTGAAAATGGCACTTATTAAAAAAAACTAGCAACAACAAATGTTGGCGAGGTTGTGGAGAAAAAGGAACTCTCCTGCACTATTGGCGGGAGTGTAAACTGGTCCCACCACTATGGAGAGCTGTGTGGAGATTTCTTGACCTACTAAACATAGAGCTTCCATATGATCCAACAATTCCACTCCTGGGTATTTACCCAAAGGACACAGAAACAGTAATTCCAAAGGGCACCTGCACCCCTATGTTTATAGCAGCACTATTTACAATAGCTAAGCTTTGGAAACAACCCAAATGCCCAAAAATAGATGACTGGATCAAGAAGATGTGGTACATATATACCATGGAATATTACTCAGCAATCAAAAAAGATAAATACATGCAATTTGCAGTAACATGGATGGAGCTGGAAGGGATCATGCTCAGCAAAATAAGCCAGAAAGAAAAAGAAAAATATTGGATGGTCTCATTCATAGCAGGAACCTAGAAAACTTAAAAAAGGGACCAGGAAAAAGAATAACTATAAGAAAGAAAATATCAAAATGAACAAACAACTATGAACCAGAGACACTCTATAGGGGGTGGGGGGCGGGGAAAAGAGGGCTTGGGGTCAAAATAAGGGGGTTGTAATTGTATGGGGAATATAAAAAATAAAATTTAAATAAAATGTGAAAAAAAATACTGTGACTACACTAAACCACTGAACTGAATATTTTAAATGAGTCAACGGGTATGTGAATTATATCTAAAAAAAAAAAAAAGATGTACTAATGTTCAGTAGTATTTTATCCACTGGGAGTAGAGTGTGAGAGTACACTTCCCTATACATTTTTGGAAACTTCTTGAACATCTACATAAAATATTTTGTAAAACTATTTTGGAAGCAAGATTGCAAAAACCTTTCTGTTCTAGGTATTCCTAATTATTTTGTGACTTTGATAGAACTGTAAAGGATACAGTGAATAATTATATCTAATAATTATTCTTCCTACAAAAAGAACCCAATTTGTTTCCTCCACCCAATCCATCTAACAACTGCTCATATTGCTCAAGTACTGTCCTGGTTTCTGCCATTTATAAGCATTTCTATCCCATTTCTACCAAAGTGCTTGAGAAGAGAACTAAAAAATCATAGAGGAGACTAAAGGGTAGTGAAATACTTGCTATATGTCAGAAGTGATAGGATAATGGGTGCCCTTAACCCAATGATCAGGCCTATGATCCTAAAAATATTCTCCAAGTTGGATCAATTTTGATAGTGTTTCCAGCAAATTTGACTGTATATTCTGCAAGAAAAAAATTCATTTTCCTTTTCATACCTTACCTTTAGGCTTGTCCTAATAAATAATTAATACACAATCCACCCTGACAATAAGATACTCTTGAAAAAAACCTGAAAATGTTTTTACCATCCCTTCAAACCTCCAACCCACTTACACCTACCAAATAAACAAATGGTTTAAGAAGTACCTGGCCCATGAAGAAAATGATCTTTAAATTGACCATGGTGATGGTTGCACATATCTGCCAATACACTAAGAACCACTGAACTCTACACATCAAATGGATTAATTATACGGTATGTGAATCATATTGCGATTAAGTTGTTTTTTTTAAAGTTCATAGCCCAAAGCCTCACATACATTATACATTCGACAAGTATTCTTTGAAAAAATAGTTTTTTTTAATGAGGGAAGCAGCATGGTTCAAGGAAGTCAGACATATTGATAACTAGGTTGTATGCCTTTGAAGCTCTATAATTTCAGGCAGGTTACTTATGCTCTGTGCAGCAATGTCGTCATAGGCAGAATGCTGCAGATAATACCTATATCTCAGGGTGGTTTTGAGGATAAACTCAGGCAACATATGTAAATCATTTACCACAAAGTCTATTTGACTTTGTGGTAATAGTGGTAATAGTCTACCACTATTACCACAGGTAATAGTGCAAAGAAATTGTTCCCTCTTTTTCTTTCCTATTCCCTTTTGGGTTCTCAATAGCTGATTGTTTCTCGTTCAAAGTTCCCTATAGGGGCCTCCCTGGTGGCGCAAGGGGTTAAGTCACAGCACTATGAAGCTATCTGCAGCCACTGCAGTATGAGTTCAATCCCTGGCCAGGGAGGTGACCCACATGGGCAGCAGACCTCTCCTGTCTTGCCTACTGCTTCCCTCAGTTGTGCATTGCAGTCAATCTGCTGTTCTGTTCCCCACTCTGTCTCTGTTGAATCCTCTCACCCCCACCCCCACCTCTGGCTTGTATGCATAAATAAATAAATCTTCAAAAAAAAAAAGTTCCCCATAAGGGACTTCTTGGTGCACAATGTTGCCTAACCCACTGTTTTCACACATTTACCTCATGGCTCAGTTGTCCCTTGGCCAAGTCCTCCAGTCAGGACCTGTACTCCAGTCAGCTGTCTGCTGAGTTGCTCACCAGCTGCGGCCTCAGCATCCGCCATGGCAGGCCAAGACGCAACACAGACTCCACAGCTGCTGCCCAGTCGCTCAGGCTAATCAGCCCTGCAGGCAAGAGCTGCTTATTGACTTGTCACTTTATAGTTTCCGGCCCAAGAGAACATTTTTATCCTGACATTCTTCTTACTATCTACAGGTAATAGTAAGAATGGGCACGGTCACTATATTTATATAATGGTCACAAAAGACTTGTCTAGATACCAGGGTTGCCAATTAAAATGCAGGATGCCCAGTTAAACTGGAATTTCATACAGCCCTAAAGAATAAGTATGTCACAAATACTGCATACTTATTAAATGCTTATATCAAAAAATAATTTGTTGTCTCTCTGTAATTTAAATTTAATTAGTCATTCCATTTTTATTTGTTAATTCTGGTAAGACTACTGGAATCATGCCATATTCCTGTAAATCATAGCATAAAACATTACACATATATAGTGTTAGTTGTATGTGTATGAAAAGATATTGCCGTGAATTTATGACAACTACTGTGATTTTTTTTGTTTTTTAAAGATTTATTTATTTATTTATTTATACAAGCACTGGGTACAGTCAGAAGCGTGGGAGGGTGAGAGAATTCACCAGAGCCAGAGTGGGGAGCGGAACAGGCAGAAGGACTGAAGTACACTGCTGAGGGGAGCAGCGGGCACGGCAGGAGAGGTCTGCGCGCCATGTGGGATCCTCGCTGGTGACTTAAGTGGCGCTGCAGAGGCTTCTGGCAGCTTCGCAGCCCAGCACTCAACCGCTGTGCCACTGGGGAGGCCCACTACTGTGATTTTTAATACTGCAATATCTAATGAAGATCCATTAGACACTTCACTGAGGTGAGAAAAAAATAAAATCTCTAACTCAGATAGTAGAATACATAACAGATAAGCACAGACTTAACTACAAAAGGCCAAATCTTTGGTCTTTTGCTGATCTTGGATATATACTAACAAACTGCCCCATCTATTGTTTTTTGCTTAGTTCTGATCTTTTTTTTTCTTTAAAGATTTATTTATTTATTTATACAAGCACTGGGTACAATCAGAAGCGCGGGAGGGTGAGAGAATTCACCAGAGCCAGAGAGGGGAGCAGAGCAGGCAGAAGAACCGAAGTACACTGCTGAGGGGAGCAGCAGGCGGCAGGAGAGGTGTGCGCGCCATGTGGGACCCTCCTCCGGTGGCCGGGGAGCAGCCGGGGATTGAACCAGCGCCACAGAGGCTGCGGGCAGCTTCGCAACCCAGCGCTCAACCGCTGCACCACCAGGGAGGCCCTGCTTAGTTCTGATCTTATCACCCTCCTCTTCACTGCATTTTTTTTCACCATCTCCAACTATATTTAGCCCAGTTCATATTCTGTTAAAAGCTGGGAATTTAAAATTTTATAAAACATAGCTGGGATAATAAGTTGAATAAAATGGAAGAAGTTATCTGGAGGTTCCTCAGTCTACTAAAAATGGAGCTACCATACGATCCGGCAATTCCACTACTAGGGATCTACCCAAAGGACACAAAAACAGTGATTCAAAAGAGCACCTGTAACCCTATGTTTATTGCAGCACTATTTACAATAGGTAAAACCTGGAAACAACCCAAATGCCCAAAAATAGATGACTGGATCAAGAAGATGTGGCATATATGCACAATGGAATATTATTCAGCAATCAAAAAAGATAAACTCATGCCATTCACAGCAACGTGGATAGAGCTAGAAGGAATTATGCTCAGTGAAATAAGCCAGAAGGAAAAAGAAAAACATCGGATGGTTTCACTTATAACAGGAATATAGGGGAACCAAATAAGATATCAGTATAAAAAATAATAATAACAGTACAAAACACAACAAAGCAAAAATAGACAATTATAAACCAGAGACTTACTGTAGGGGAGAAGGAGGGAGAGGGATCAGAGGGAGGGAGGGAGAAGCACAGGGGAAGTGATGGTGCACGGGTGCCTTGGGGAAGGAAATTCTATGGGACTCAATATGAGGGGGTGGGGGGGAAGTAAATACTGTCTAAAATTTTTTTTAAAAATGATAAATGTTAAAATAAATAAATTTTAAAAAATGGAAGTGATAGAGGACAAGAATAGAAAAACTGGAAAGGAGGCCTCACAAGACTAAACCCTGACTCACACAAGGAGGTGGGAGTCGAGGGGAATAACATGACCATTAACCCAGCTGCAGAGGTCGTGACCCTTAGGCACCAGCACATTTATCACAAGGCAGGAGACCCAAGCAGGATCAGACTGCTAGGGGGCATGGAGCACAGGCCTGAGGGTAAAGATATGGAGATTGGGCCCACCCTGGAATCTCTCTCTGATCCCTTTCTAGTTTAGCCTGTTACCCAACATCAGCAACAAGCAGGCCACTCCACGGAGGAGTGAGCCCTCCCTAAGAGAAAAGGACTATGTCCTGCAGTCTCTGTATAGGCTCGGGGCAGCACTCCCACTGCCTGCCTGTCACTATTCAGGTTTCTCTTTTCACCAACTTTCTCCTTCTGCAGAGCAGAAGCCTCCTGCCTGCCCGTGACCTGTACCATGCCGGGACTTCTCCTCACTGACCTCTCTCAGCGGAGGCAGCTCTCCTCAAGGGCGCCCGCCTGTGACCATGCAGGCCTTTCTCAGCAAAAACTGTCCCTTTCCCTTTCCCTAATAAGCCTGTTCTTTAAATATGACTAACGTCTCTGTCTCGTGGAGAAACTTGCGGCCGAAACAAGAGTTCTGATGAATCTGTTACAGGGCAGATCCCGCTCTAAAAGGGTTTTGCCATCTGCTGCATCGCATCAACACAAAAGGAACATTAAAGGAACTTTAATGCACTTAGGAAACAATACAGAAAAGACAAAGAATCTAGTTTCTAAATGAAGCACCCAAAGTTACCCGTCCCCTCGAGGGTAAAACTCCATCCAAATGGGATTGGCCCAGAGCAAGGCCCCAAAGCCTGCCACAAGTCTAAGGCATCTTCCTGTGGGGACCTACAGAAAAGGATCAGAAACAAGCAGACAAGTCTGGAGGGAAAAAAGCAAAATCAACATCAAGACAAAAACTGTCATTGTCACCTCCCCACGGGTCTCTCACCCACATCTGTGTCACCCAGTCCACGACCAAAAGGCAAGCATAGTTTCTTCATGTGTCTCTCTGCTCCATGCACCTCCTCCAGGTCTCCTTCTGGCTCCATCCTTCTTCCTTCCTCAGTCTCCTCTGCAGGGTCTTCTCTCCCTGCCCAGCTCCACCCTCCCTTGGGTGGGGCAGGAAACCTGGAACCTCCCCCTTTCCTGGGGACCACCCTGTTACAATACCTTTCCCAGTGTGAACCCAAGTGTTATAGGACAGGGAGAGGGGCAGCCCAAGCCCCGCAAACCTGCCTATTCTAAATGGGTTCTGCCATCCGCCGCATCAACACAAAACATAGGAGACTTTAATGAAAAGGAACTTTAATAAAACTAGGAAACAATACAGGTAAGGCAAAGAGTCTAGTTTCTAAATGAAGCAACCAAAGTTACCCGTCCCCTCATGGGTAAAAGTCCATCCATATGGGATTGGCCCAGAGCAAGGCCCCAAAGCCTGCCACAAGTCTAAAGCATCTTCCAGTGGGGACCCACAGAAAAAGGTCAGAAATAACCAGACAAGGCCGGAAGGAAAAGAGCAAAATCAACATCAAAATAAAAGCTGCCATTGTCACCTCCCCATTGGTCTCACCCACATCTGTGTCACCCAGTCCACGACCAAAAGACAAGCACAGTTTCTTCACGTGTCTCTAGGCTCCATGCGCCTCCTCCAGGTCTCCTGGCTCCATCCTGCTTCCTTCCTCAGTCTCTTCTTCAGCTTCTCCTCTTCCTGCTCAGCTCCACCCTCCCTTGGGTGGGGCAGGGAACCTCCCCCTTTCCTGGGGACCACCCTGTTACACAAGGACCCCGCACGCTACAAAACCCCATCAGAAGGAGTCATCACAGGGGTTGTCTAATGTCTCATGAACAAAAGTCATTTGTTCATTCAACCAATATTTAGTCACTAACCATTGTGAGACAAAGATTTTTTGACTAGCTTCCTTCTATGAATATGTCCCTTGACTGTTCTTACCAGTTTTCTCTGCATCGAGTCTCTCAAATTCACTGAGAAGATCTGAAGAATGAGCAAATAACTTTTTCCGCAGAGCTCTCAGAGCTGATTCCTCTACCCTGCTAATCTTGGGACAAAAAAGGAACATTTTTAAAAAATTGGTATAGAAGGAGTCACGGGTTTGTGTTACATTTCTTCTCTCTTTTTTTCACATCTCAGTTGCCCAAGAACTGTTTCTGGAGAAAGAATCCTTCTCTAATTTCTCCCCACTGCTTCTCCACCTTTCCTGCTGTGTGCAAATAGGATAGTCTGGGGTGCTGCTGTCCTCCCTGTGTCAGACAATGGTTAGAACAAAAGCTGTGGAGAAAGACCACTTGTGTGGCAAAGTTTTGTAATTATGTTGTATCTCAAATTCCCCATCTGCAAAATAGGGATGAAAATGTTACCTGCTTTATAGGATCATTTTGAAAATTAAATAAGTAAGTTTATGTAAAGCCCGGCACATAGAAAGCACATAGTTGAAGTTAGTGGACAAGTGTCTTTGGGGTTAATTAGGTGATACTATACTTACTTTAATGCAATCAGTGAATATTTCAGAACTAGGTGCTCTTTAATTATCTTTTTTAAAATGTTATTTATAGGATCCTTCACAGTGATTCCTTTTGTAATGACTACACCAAAATTATAGAATCATGGCATTCCTAGTGCCTAAAGCCCACCCCGGAGACTCTAATTTGGTACGGATAGGGTAAGGCTCAATGGTTGATTTTTTTTTTCTTTTAAGTTTTTTTTTTTTTAAGATTTATTTATTTGTTTGTTTTGTTTGTTTGTTTATACATACAAGCACTGGGTACAGTCAGAAGCGCGGGAGGGTGAGAGAATTCACCAGAGCCAGAGCGGGGAGCAGAGCAGGCAGAAGGACTGAAGTACACTGCTGAGGGGAGCAGTGGGCAGCAGGAGAGGTCTGCGCACCATGTGGGACCCTCCTCCAGTGACCGGGGAGCAGCCGGGGATCGAACAAGCGCCGCATAGGCTGCGGGCAGCTTCGCAACCCAACCGCTGCGCCACCGGGGAGGCCCTGATTTTTTTTTTTTTTAATCAAACTTCATTGATTCTGTTGCATGGTAGGTATGGCTATTAATTGGTGGTTCAAATTTTTCACATAATACCTATTTTGAGTGATATTAGCCTTGATTTTATAATGAGTTGAGTATTTATCAACTCTTAAATATTCAATTACTCAACTGTGATTAAAAATAATACATTTTTGGGCCTCCCCTGGTGGCGCAGGTGGTTAAGCGTTGCTCTGTGAAGCTGTCCGCAGCCTCTGCAGCGTCAGTTCAATCCCAGCCTGCCGGCGAGGGTCCCACATGGCAAGCAGACCTCTTCTGCCGCCCGCTGCTCCCCTCACCAGTGCATTTTGTCAGTCTGCCTGTTCTGTTCCCTGCTCTGTCTCTGGTGGATCCTCTCACCCTCCCGCACATATGGCCTGTACCCCGGCTCTTGTATAAATAAATAAATAAATAAATAAATAAATAAATAAATAAATAAATAAATAAATCTTTAAAAAATAATAATAATACACTTTTGTAGCACTCATATAGGCAGATGTTAAATATTTTCACTGGATTTATCCTAACTTTGTTTGATTTCTAATTTAGTTCACCTACTAATTAAAGAAGTTTCTTCTATAGTAACAAAACATTTATTAGCATCCTCTGGGACCATCTGTCTTCTTAGTGACAGGCAGTACTACATCATCAAGTGAGTGAGTTCTGAAGTAAGACTACCCAGGTCAAATCTTTCTTTCACTGCTTATTTGCTTTGAAACCATGGGCTAGATAATTTAGCCCCTGTTCCTTTAAGATTTCATCTATAAAACTGATACTAGTAATGTGATGTGTTTCATAAATTTGTTGTGAGACTATGAATATATATATATATATATATATACACACACACATTCTTTTTTTAAAAAAGATTTATTTATTCAAGCATACAAGAACTGGGATACAGATGAGATGTGTGGGAGGGTGAGAGGATTCACCAGAGACAGAGCAGGGAACAGAACAAGCAGACTGACTGAAACTCACTGCTGAGGAGAGCAGTGGGTGAGACAGGACTGGTCTGCTGCGCCATGTGCGTATCTCCGTGGCCAACTGGACTGGAACCCATGCTGCAGAGGCTGTGGACAGCTTCACAGCGCTGCACTCAAACATCTGTGCCACCAGGGAGGCCCTGCATATACATTCTTTATAATAACATTTCGTGTACAGTCAGCTGTCACCTAAGGTTAGAACTCAGAATCATCTCAGCAGATGCCACTTAAGTAATAGTAAATGCTTCTTTCCCAGGTAGAAAGGGGCATTGTAAACAAATCCGTTCACCAAATCTCCAGATTTGGTTATAGTTATAAGTAACACAAATCCTAAAACACAAATCTCAGGATGAGATAAAATAGAAGAGTGACACAGAAAGACTTAGGGGTCTGATCCATGGGCTTTACTCAAGATGCACCCACTGAGAATAATTTCTGTAGGGAGTAAATGTAATACTTTTATTAATAATGGGTAGGTAGATAGGGATTTCATAATGTGGGGAGAAGGACAAGACCTCTGCTAAAATGTCTATTCTAGACCTTACCACTGACAGAACTAAATGCTAAAATCTCAGAGTTTGAATAAAAGTAGACACCTAACACTTCAAAAGCTCTAAAAACACTGGACTTCAGTTTTTCTAAAAATCATTCACTGAAAAGTCTTGCCTCTGCCACATGATTAGCATGTGGGTGGCCTTATTGACTTGATACTGCACGATGTGCGAGGTCAGGGCTGGCCCCAGTGTGACATAGGCACCTTTGTTACTGCCAACTTCATAGTAGTTGGAGGCAGAAAAGATGGTTAACACCTAAATCAAAACAGAAGAGAAACAGACATTCAGGGTCACTGAAGAGCTCACCTGCAATCCTGAAGAAACCAACCCAATTCCTGGGGCTGCTGTTTCTCTTTGACCTCATCTATAGGGGGTTGTAGTTGTTGCTTTAAGTTATTCATGCTAATAGACATGATTTGGGACCCAAGTAATAAAAATTCTAAATTCTGACAGGAATTCACAACATGTATCCATCACATTTTTATCCCAAGTAAAAGGAGGAGTCATAGAAAGCACTTCATTTGCTCCAACTTATAGGCAAGCTGGGTGTGATCAACTGGGATGGTCATCATGGGCAAGCCAGGTAGTCAAGCTGGTGTGGGCCTCGCAGCAGTTTCTGACAGAGGCAGAGCCTTCTGAGACGCTCTGGGAGAATGTTTTTATCATTCTACATTTTGAAATGCTCAATGTGTGTCTCAGAGATTTACAATGAATGTGGGAAATAAAAGATTCTCAGAAGTACTGTAATATAGAACTTGCATAGCCATGTAATCGATTATTTCTTATATTAGTTAATCTCAAGCCTTTGTTTTCCCACACAGAAACCTGTTATTCTCCTGGACAGTCAGAATTCCTGGGAAAGCACTCATCCTGGTAGCATTAGCTAAGCTGGCATTATAGGACCTGGAGAAGCCCCCAAAATTAGTGAGGGCTTTAATTCCATTCCTGAGAAGATAAACAATCCAGAATCCCTGCCTGGTGGGCAGAGTGTATAAATCCTGTCACCTGTAGTGCTGTTTGGGACAGGTGACAATGAGCAAGGTTACAACAAATAAAGACATGGCTGGGAAAACACTGGGCCATATTTCCTCTCATTAAATGGGACCACACCTCAAGCTGACAATAGATCTGAGGCATACAGCAGAGGAGGGGGAAGGAGACAGGTCAAAACATGAGAGGAAAGAGTGCAAAGGACTGTGGTGACGGATCACGGGTGCGATGGTGGTGGGACTAAACCTGAGGGGAGAAATCAAATACTATCTAAAAATTAACAGATCTAAGATAAAAATAAAATAAAATACATAAAAAATAAATGGGGTCACATCTCCCCTTTATTCTCCTCTGAGGGTATTGATGAGCAGTGGTCTCAATCAAATTTTGACTTCTAAGTTGAAGAGAATATAAAGATGGAAGATAACAGACTAGTTGCTCTGAGCAAGTGGACAACACAAGATAGAGCTGACAGTGAGAAGCCGGGAGACTTCACACCTGCAGCCTGGGAGCGCCGGAAGGACCACCCGAGTGCTAAGGCAGAGAACCCACCTTTCGACTGTGGCAGAATTCATAGCCTTCAGGTTTGCACTCATGTGAGCGGATCATGAATTGCAGGTTATATTTCTGCAGCAACTGTTCTGTCACATTAGGTCCAAAATAACAGCCTCCCCCACGAACGGTGTTGGCTTTGCAGCCCTCCTGAGCCATGGGGTCACTCCACAGTATATCTACCACCTGGAGAGAGACCAAGGGATGTTATTTTCTCTAAAAACTACACTGGGGTGTAGGCCAGTGGTGTGGGGTGGGGTGAGAGGATTCACCAGAGTAGGCAGCAGAACAGGTGGAGCTAATGAAGCACACTGCTGAGGGGAGCAGTGGGTGGGACAGGAGAGGTCTGCTGTGACATGTGGGTCATCTCCCTGGCGGGGGATGGAATTCAGGTAATAGGGTGGCTGTCGGTTGCTTGATAGCGCTGAGACATCAATCCCTGCGCCACCAGGGAGGCCCCAGATATTCATTCTTATGAATACAGGAAGAGGAAAAACAGAAGGAAGAAGATGAAGAAGATGAAAATATTTGAATTAAGATAAATTCCCATGCAATCCATACTCAGTATAGATTTATAATTTAAACTCCTGAAGTTCCAGACTTTTTATTACTCACAAAATGAGTGTGAGTATGTGAATATCAGTTGGCAAGTACATATCCACTTTATTTATTAAAAATAAATCTTATGTGAAAGCTCAACAAGTAAAACAGACCAAAAGGGAGCTGTTCTGGAAGAAGCTCTGATCCTACCCAGGGCTCAGGCAGTGCCAATAATCCAGGCTCCTAGATATTTGTCCCCAAAGCAGGTGGATGTCCTGTGACTGGCAAAAATATCTCTCATGCAATGTATCCCCAGAGCCCCAGAGGTGGTCTTGGAAAGTACAACTGGATAATTTACAGACTAAGGTAATTTCAGGATTTTCTAGAGCATTTGTACACAAATGAAGTAAATTTTCTAGCAAAATCCAGATTCTACCTAATTGTTACTCGTCAGGAAAACACTGATGGCCAGACTGACATGAGTCATTTGGAATAAATGGGTGTGTTTTGGCTGTTGACACCTGATAGTTTCTAAATGTACTTTTAAATCTTTTTTTTTTTAAGAGTTATTTATTTGTTTGTTTGTTTGTTTGTTTATTTGTTTATTTATACAAGCACTGGGTACAGTCAGAAGCGCGGGAGGGTGAGAGAATTCACCAGAGCCAGAGCAGGCAGAAGGACCGAAGTACACTGCTGAGGGGAGCAGCAGGCGAGACAGGAGAGAGCTGATATGCTATGTGGTCACCTCCCTGGCCAGGGATCAAACTCATGCTGCAGTGATTGCAGTTAGTTTCATAGTGCTGAGACTTAATCCCTTGGGCCACCAGGGAAGCCCCTCCCTCCCAAACCTTTAATTAGTTTGGGCACTGTGAAGTTCAGGATAGTTTAAAATCCTCTACACCATCCCCCTTCCCAAGAGCACAACCCAGACTTCTTGGGCAACTCTTGCGCCAGCGTTGTGCAGACTAAACCCTAGGGTGCAAGTTCCAAGTACACCAGGCTGTTAAAACTGCACGTAAACAAGGCAGTCACATGGAGAGAGAGGCCAAGGGCATCAAGGCACCAGATTGACTGAAGAGCTGATTTAGAAGGGGAACCCCCCCAGAGCATTACAGACAAACTACCTGACTGGGTCCTTTGCAAAGTATGATGAACATGATAAAATCACAAGGAGAATAAAATTCTGGGATAATTTGTTATACAGCAATAGAGAATTGCGACAAGACTTGTAGAAATGACTTACAAAATTACAAAATGAATTGAAATCAAAATGAAAAAATAGAATCTAAGAAGCAAAAGGCAAACTAGTAAATCTAACCTAGTGTAAGTTGGTGGCATAACCAGAAAAAAAGGAATTATTTCACATGACTTGAAAATTCAGTAATTTCTTTGCACATCTCTAGTGGATATACCTGAAGGGTAAAAAGTACTAAAGAAATTTAAAGAGTTTTCAGTAATGAGACTGTTTATAATATGTAAATCTTATTGCCATAAGATTTATAATATTGTTGTGATTATTAATCTGAAAATATTATTTATACCTTGTAAGACAAAATAAAAATACCATATTAATGTCATTAGGGAAAAATATTTTTAATAAAGAAGAGACAACATATAATAAGTTGTTAAGTAAAAATACTGTGCTCCTGAATATAAATTGGACATGATGGTCTGTACAGGTTATACCTCTATACCTGAAATGCTCTCTCACCCTCTTTTTGCCCAACCTTATTTCATTCACTTGTGCATGCACAGTTTGTGAGAAACCCCAATGGACAACATGGACTACTTAAGTATATATGAGTTCTGAAATATAATTCACCACCCCTAAGATTATCAGTTGAGCATTCTGGTTGTCAATTCACAAGAAGGAAAAACTATTTTCAAGAGTCAGCCTGAGCAGAAATGGAACAGTTCTCTTCATCTACCCAGGGAAGCCCCTCCCTGTGCAATGTAGGCTTTGGGATACCCACAGCTAGTATGGGAGATTGGAAGTACATACCTTTCTCTGCATTCTGGAAAGCAAACTGATGTTGGGTTGAGATGCCACTTCCCATAGTGTCAGTGCAATATTTCTGCAAGATGAAGGCAGCAGGTGCATGGAAGAGTGAATTGCTTGCCTGGGGAAAGGTTGGGGTAATCTGCAATAGAGCAATTCAGGCAGGTAGGTAGTTCAGGTGGACCCAGCTATTTATACACTTTGTCTCCCATGTCATAACAAGGTGAGACTGTGGTGTGAGAGCACCTCCCTGGCCTCTAGGCTCAGTGTGGGAATTCTGAGAAATTCCAGGGCCCTGAAAATTCCCTCTATTGGTCACCTCCCAACTCTGTTATGTTTTCAACCTTTATGTTGGTTTTCCTATCCAATCTAGAAACTTACAGAAGTCTCTTCTCAAAGAAATTCTTCATCATCCTCATCCTCATCATCCTGTGATTCCCTATATCCCTCTCACAATAACCCAATCTCTTTTTCTCACATCCAGATTTCTCTTAAGAGTATACTACATATTTTCTCGTTAATTTCTCTTATAATCAATCTTTTTCATCTGCATTATTGTTAAAAACTGGTATCTTCAGTCCCTCATCATTCAGTCCTTACTTTGCCAAGACAGTAAGGTCATACTTCACCATATGTTATATCTTGATTTATTTTTTTATATTTTCATACCCTAACATTTTATTTTTTAATTTTTTTTTCACAAGGGAACATTAGTTTACAACATTGTATCTGAATTAGTGGTGTAGGACCATCCCCTTTAGGTGTTGTTACTGAAGACTCTACCACCAAGACCCCCAGAGTCCTCCACCCCAGTCCAGTGTGCTCCCTCCTCACTCTGCCCGCTACTGCCCTGCAGTAGCTGATGATTGACAGTCGTTTCTAGAGTTTGTTATTGATTTGGCTTGATTTGACCATTTGTTTATTTCTCTATATTGCACATGTGACACCATCCAATATTTGTCTTTCTCCTTCTGAGTTATGTCTTGATTTAAACTATACTCCACAGCTCTCATGATGCAATTCTCTTGTATTTGGCCCACCACTCTGCTATTTCTTTCTCTTTTTTCTCTATCCATCCCTTATATGTTGGATTTTACTTGTATTCTAGTCATAAATGTCAGCTCTCTTCACTCTACACAAATCATCCCTGGATGATTTAGTCAACACTTGACATTTTCAGCAATCTCTTTCACTCTCATATCTTTACCTTCATCCCAGGCCATCTCTAAATATTAGTCCCATATATCCCGTTTCCTGCTAAACTTTCACTGGGGTGCCTCAGAATTTATGTGTCACAAATCGGACTCCTCTTCCTCCCGTCTCATTTATCTTCTTTCCTTCCTTCAAATTCTGCTTTTTGAGCACCCTGACCTTTGTGTTTTTGCTCTTACCTGGAATGTACTTCCATCCCACTCATCTGAACATGGCTGGCTTTATTCATTCTTTAAGACTCTCTAAGGAAGTCAGCTTGACATGTTCCTTCTCTGAGTTCCTAAGTATTCTGCTCACATCTCCATCACTGAAATGCTTTATGTAAGAGTTTTCCATCTTGTTTTTCTCTATCATTGGACAGTGATTTCCTTGAGAGTGAAAACTGGGAGAGGAACAAATTCATCATTTTAACCCCCCGGACTTGGCACAGTGTCTGAGTTATAGAAGAGATTCAATAAGTACTGATTGAATAAACTGTATGCCATATTTATTTTTTTTATATTTATTTATTTATACATCCAAGAACTGTGGTACAGGACAGAGATATGAGGGTGAGAGGATTCACCAGAGAGAGTGGGGAACAGAACAGGCAGATTGACCTGAAACACACTGCTGAGGGGAACAGCAGTTGAGAAAGGAGAGGTCTGCTGCACCATGTGGGTATCTCCCTGGCTGGGGATTGAACTTGTGCTGCAGTGGCTACAGATAGCTCCATAGTGCTGTGCTTAACCCCTTGTGCCACCAGGGAGGCCCCATATTTATTTTCACACAACAAAGATGAATCCTTCTCTAGCCCTTCTCAGGAAGCAGTGGGAGGCGCAGACACTTAATGTCAAGAGTAGATCCCATTTCTATAGTTATCCCTTTCTTCACTCCACCCCACATCCCTCCCTCTATTTGTGAAGGTGCCTGTATTGGAGATTGTCAAAAAGTTACCTTTTCCTTTGCATATCAAATGAAAGACTCACTTTGCTTAAATTGATTGACTTTTTTTAAAAAAAAAAAAGATTTAATTTTATGGGCCTCCCTGATGGTGCAAGGGGTTAAGTTGCAGCACTATGAAGCTATTCGCAGCCACTGCAGCATGAGTTTGATCCCCAGCCGGCTAGGGAGATACCCACATGGCACAGCAGACCTCGTCTGTCTTGCCCGCTGTTCCCCTCAGCAGTGTATTTCAGTAGATCTGCCTGTTCTGCTCCTCACTCTGTCTCTGGTGAATCCTCTCACCCCTGACCTTGGCACCTCTGCCCTATGCCCCAGCTCTTCTATGCACAAACAATAAAAGATTCATTTTTATTTCTTTATGCATACAAGAACAGGGGTGCAGTCCAGAGGTGCAGGGGCATCAAATCTGTTAACACCTGATCTTGAAGGCCTTTGGAACTGTGAGAAATAAATATGTTGTTTAAGCCACCCAGTCTATGGTATTCTTTTTATAGCAGCTCAAGCTAAAATAATCATAAGCCAATGGAATGAATACTGATTACAGCTGGGTCAAAGATGATTATTAAATAAGTTCTCTCTTGTCCTTCAGATACCTTGTTTCTCGTAAATTTATAAATCAAAATATGTTTGCAGAAAAAGACCTTGCTAATCATCTACCCCATAAAAATGTCATTGGAGGTAGAAAATGACAGTGCTGTAGAATGAGGAAGTAATAACTTGAAGTGGCCAATAAACGATTTGAAACCTCCTCTAGGAGGGCAAGAAATGAAATGTCACCTCAGGTGACACATCCAGTTGTTAGTAACTCTGGGTCACCGAGGACAAGTAGAATGTGCTGTCATGTATCGTGTGGAAGATGAGGGGGCACCCATCTGTGACAGCCAAGGAACATTTGACCCCTGCTTGGACCTCCATCGCCTTGTCTGTTTCTCTGTTATGTAAGGGCCATGGCAACTCCATCACAGGCTAGTTTTGAGAATCAAATGAGGTTCCATATGAGGAATACTTTGCAAATGTGTGTTATTGTCATGAAAATCACTGAGGTGGAAAATTCTTAAAAGACTCTCCCAGAAATCTCCTCCCCCAAATAAAATCACCATAATTACTTATCAGTAAAAAATTAACACAATATTTCATAGTACATAAAAAATATCGGAACAGCATCTAGTCATGAACAAAGAACAAGACAAGGTGATATGTAATATGAGAATATTCCCAAGATATATTATTACATGAGGAAAAGCAAATTGCAGACTTGTATGTTTAATATTTCACTGATATAAAAATACATAAATAAGTATATAATCAAAGAGTACACAATGATCTATTTTTTTTTAAATATATATGTATTTGGCCATTGTTTGATGTAGCTCTCCCCTCACTATTTTTTTTTTTATAGAGGCATGCTTTATTTATTTATTTATTTATTTGTTGTTTAGACATGCACTGGGTACAGTCAGAAGCGCGGGAGGGTGAGAGAACTCACCAGAGCCAGAGCGGGGAGCAGAACAGGCAGAAGGACCGAAGTACACTGCTGAGGGGAGCAGCGGGCGGCAGGAGAGGTCTGCGCGCCATGTGGGACCCTCCTCCGGTGGCCGGGGAGCAGCCGGGGATCGAACCGGCACTGCAGAGGCCGCGGGCAGCTTTGCAACCCAGCGCTCAACCGCTGCGCCACCGGGGAGGCCCTACAATGATCTATTAATAGTTATTACCTCTGAAGAATGGGGTTGGATGAGAAACTTGTTTTTCTTTTTTTTAAAGATTTATTTATTTATTTATACAAGAACCAGGGTACAGGCCAGAGGTGCGGGAGGGTGAGAGTATTCACCAGAGACCGAGTGGGGAACAGAACAGGCAGACTGACTGAAATACACTGCTGAGGGGAGCAGCGGGCAAGACAGGAGAGGTCTACTGCGCCATGTGGGACCCTCACCAGCCAGCTGGGATCGAACTGGTGCTGCAGAGGCAGCAGCTTCATAGCACTGTGCTCAACCACCTGCACCACCAGGGGAGGCCCGAGAAACTTATTTTTCATTTATATATTATATATGTATATAATTATATTATAACATTTATAACTTTTATAAAGAAAAATCATAAACTACTGTTCAAAAATTTGTACATAAAAGGAAGTAGGAAATGACTCTGACTAAATAGGTATCACATAGGGCTGCCTTCAGGAAAGAATGTCACATATCTACAGACTAACAGAATGTTCTGAAAGTCACTAAGAAAAATGAATAAAAAGGAAAAGCAAACTGATTCTCAAGTTTAAAACTTCCTAAGCTCAGACCTGAAAAATTAGCTTGTTGTAGCTTCAGACTGTTGAGTCAGCGCCTTTAGTAAAGACTAGCTGATTCTCCAGTCAGGATCCCAGCTAAGGATACCCTCAGGTACCTAGATATCTACCCACAAGGGTGAGACTCTTTCTAGGGTTTGACTGGGCATCATCCCCATCTTACAATATTATTTTTAAAAATGCAGGTAAATTTTTACCTACCCACTAAGTAAACCAAAGAAGTAGAAGGAATATTCATCACCCATATGTGAAGAACTTGAAATACACACAGCCAAGACCCTCCCGGGCAAGTCAATGAGCTAACAAAGAGGGTTTCTCTGGCCTCTGTCACCACACCAAACCTGTGTATATTTCCTGCGTGGAAACTAAGTTTGTTGCCCTTATGGCCTCACCCATTTCTGCACTTCAGGCTAGAAAGCTCATTCTTGCCTTCTCTGGTATTTTTTACTATGAGACACAGGAGGCACAACCTCTTTAACACACAGGCACAATCCCTAGCCTATCTTCAGAGCTGGCTGAGGGATTTCCCACTAACCTGACTTCTTTCAGACTGACAAGTCCAATAAATAAAGCACAGCCTTAGTCAGGTATGTTTGCTCCCAGAAAGGTGACCAGGACATCCACAATACTGGTGGGGTCAGGGCTCCACCTCACAACCACAGACTCCCCTTGACCTTAGTCAGATTAGTCCCTCCAGGAGGGTGGCAGGGAGAGATTGCATTGTTGGGGTGTCTCCCTCACAGCCAGGCCCAGCTCCCAAAGACAGCTTCTTCAGGGCTCAGTCCATCTGGTCCCACATTCTAAGCCTTCTTACTCTGTTGGATTAAGAAGCTGTGTTTCTCAAGCCAGTTCTGAGAAACCTGAGCCTCTTAACCCAGAAACAGAAGAGTGCTGACAAGACAGGGGGATCCAGGGGCTTCTGAGATGGATCAGGGCTCTAGGGTCCCCGTTACAGTCACACAAAGACCAAATTTCTCATCCTTTGACTAGTTTTTCTCTGTGAGACTTGATTGAAACACTCAGCCATGACTTGTTTACTCCTACTAGGGACACTTTTTCCTCGAGATGTAACCCAAATTGTTGTCAGTTGTTATTCCGAGACAATGCACCTTTTCAATTAATCTAAAATGCTTATGTATGCTGGTGGGTAGTCCATAGGAATTTGCTGAGAAATTTATACTCTCTTTATTTATATATATTGAGCAGGTCAATATATTGTTAATTGTGCTATTCAAGGCCCCTTTATCCTTATTATTCTTCTTGATCTTTGAAAGAAATATTTTGAATATTTCTATAGTAAGTAACTGTCTAGTAATTTATCTTTGTATCTCTGAATCTTTGCATTGTTTTGAAGCTACACAGTTTAAGAGATTGAACCATATGAATTGCTATTGGTGATATAATTATAAGACATGAAAGGTTATGGCTGTTTTATTTTCTTAGTAGAGGGTGACATCAAAATAAAATGTCACTTTGGGGCTTCCCTGGTGGCGCAGGAGTTAAAGTCGTAGCACTCAAGCTATTGACAGCCACTGCAGCATGAGTTCGATCCCACACCAAAAAGCTAACCTACGTGGTGCAGCAGACCTTTCCTGTCTCACCTGATGCTCCTCTCAGCAGTTTATTTCAGTAGATCTGCCTGTTCTGCTCCCCACTCTGTCTCTGGTGAATCCTCTTACCCCCGCACCTCTGGCCCACACCCCAGCTGTTGTATGCAGCAATAAGTAAATCTTTATAAAAAATCAGTTTGTCTTTAAAATTCTTTTGCCTTGAATTCTCTTTGTCTATATACAGTATTTTCGCATTTGTTCACATTCTGAGTGATTGACAACATTTTCTCCCCAAATTGACTTAAAAGTTAAAACACTAATAAAAACCCATATTATGGAAAGTATGAAAAAAAGGTCCAACTCTTTACACTACTGGTGAGAATGTAAATTGTTTCACTTTTTGGGAAATAACTAAATTTTTTTTAAATATTACCTTTTTAAAAAAATATATATATAGGGCCTCCCCTGGTGGCGCAGCGGTTGAGCGCTGGGCTGCGAAGCTGCCCGCAGCCTCTGCACTGCAGGTTCGATCCCCAGCCACCGGCGAGGGTCCCACATGGTGCACAGACCTCTCCTGCTGCCCGCTGCCCCCCTCAGCAGTGTACTTCATCAGTCTGCCTGTTCTGTTCCCTGCTCTAGCTCTGGTGAATTCTCTCACCCTCCCACGTTTCTGACTGTACCCAGTACTTGTATAAATAAATAAATAAATCTTTAAAAAAAAACAAACCTTTAAAAAAAAAGTTAAAAATATATATATATATATTTTACATCATTGTTCATTTTTGTACAATGTTTGATTTCTCCTCTCAAATGTAGTCCCCCCAAAATTCCCACCACCAAGTCACATGTGAACAATCACCATAGTCTCTTATGCTCTTCCCACCCCTTTTACTAAAGTTTAATTGTGACTAATTAGAATGTGTTTAATTTGTTAAATTAAAAATTTGTAATATGTAAACCCCAGGTTCAGAAATTCCACTTTAAGTATCACAAAACTAAACACTCATACAAAAAAAGAAATACATAAATGTTTTCATTACTATTTCATTCATGAAAAATTGGAAGCAAGTTACAGGTTCATAAATTGTAGAATGGTTAAATAAGTTTATCTATATATTATTAAATATAAAAAATCCACACAATTTTAAAGATCTAATTGGCTTTTTTAAATGATTCATAAACTGGGCAGCATCATAGATAGTGGAAAGGTGCTACAAGAAATTATAAAAAAGAAGACTTATATCTAGAGAGAGGATGGGACAAACAAAAAAAGATTTCCCCTTAGGGAAAGACATGGGATTATTATTCAGATTACCTCATTAGTGACCTCACATTGACTGAAAGGACTACATTCCTGGAGAAGGTTGAAAGCACAGGGCAGCGGCAGTTAGGTTTGATATTAAGTCTCAGTGACCTTTGGCATAAGTTCTTCCATTTGAGGCTGGTCATTTTCTCTTTTTTTTCTTGTTGCATAGAAGAATTGGGGTATAGGCCAGAGGTCCAAAGGGGTGAGATGATTAGCTCCCTAACAGGATCAAAACTCAGGCCACAGCAGTGATAGCACTGAGACTTAACCCCTAGGCTACCAGGGAGGCCCCATTTTCTTTTTTAATACATACAGGAGAATGTCACTTTTTGAAAAAAAAAAATAGGTAGATCAGGCCTTCCTGGTAGCGTAAGGGGTTAAGTCTCAGCACTATGAAGCTGTAAGTAGCCACTGCAGCAGGAGTTCGAAACCAGGCCAGGGTTTCAAAATTCCACTTTAAGGTAACCCACATGGCACAGCAGACCTCTCCTGCCTCTCCCGCTGCTCCTCTCAACAGTGTATTTCAGTCAATCTGCCTGTTCTGTTCCCCACACTGTCTCTGACCCCCCACACCTCTGGCCTGTACCTCAGTTCTTGTATGCATAAAGAAATCTTTAGAAAAAACAACAGGTAGATCAATATCCCTCATGGTGAAGAGATGTTCACCTTTTTGTCATGTAAAAAAGGCAAACTGTTGATATATAATATAACCTCAATTTTGGGGGAAAAATTATGTTGCAGGGACCACATTATTTAGCTTCTATGTTGATGCTTTAAAATGTTGGGGTCTTGCTGACCAGAGAGGAACAGCCCCTCCCAGGGTTAGAGAGATGATAACAGCATTTCCAAAAATTGAATAAAAGACATAAAATGGAAATGTGGAGAGCACAAAAAATCCCAAGCATGCCAAATAAAAAGAAAACTACATCTGGACACACTGTAGTGAAATAATACAATACAAAGGGAAAAACCTTAAAAGCAACAGAGATATAAACATCATTACTCCCCTGCTTAAGAGTTCTCAATGCCTTTAATTTATTGGTTAAAATTAGGGTATTCTCCAAATTTCCAGCGAAACAACACGACATACTTTTAGGAAAACAGGAATGTAATGTGACTACTGTTTTGAAATTTCTAGTCTCACCTGCAGTATAATGTATCTGGCAAGAAGAAATGACTTGTGATGTTTGATTTTTTAAGAGGGCATTGGATGACAGAACTTGAACAGTGTTTATGCAACACTGTCCCAGAAGAAACAAAAATATTCTGGGCCACTAGAGAGGTGTGCAGAATATGGGGCAGGGGTGATCAGTACCTGGCTAACATTTCCCTCTAGATATTCCATTTTTCTTCTGTACACTCACCAAGAACATCCAATCAACTCCTTTGTTCACGCTTTGAACCTTTTCTTACCTCATTCTCAAAGAGTTTCTTTCATATGAAACATGAAAAAAAATCAAGTGCTGCAAAGTAGTTATGCACTTCTTTGAATCCTGACATAACTGCTAAGAGAACTGCTTCTTCAAGACTGCTCTTCAGAACCACACAACTTCAAGGGTAAGAATGTAGGGAAAACATAACACTAAATAGCTTGGAAAATTTGTTTATTCTCCTTGCCAACATCTTTCAACATGTTGTTAGCTGATAAGTGACAACTAGAAATAAGTTGGTTCCATATTGCTTTCAAAATCAGTAAGAAAGTAGCTATTTAGAAAAAGGTCCATCCATTTTCTTTACAAGGCATCAGAAAAATAATAAAAAGTAAGAAACCATTCACATGGAACTTTGTGATCAAAGGTCAGATTAACAAACATTCCAACAGCTCTATTCACAGGAGAGTTCTCCGTTTCTTTTAGAACAATCATTTTACTTGACTCCTGACTTTCAGAAGCTCTTTATAATGAACAAAGAGGTCTTGCCTGCTCATTTCTGAGGTTGAGGTATGACAACATCGCTCTATATTATCATGAGAAGCTGGAAACTAAGCCCAAGGATCTGGCTTGACCTCTGAGATCAATTATCTTGAGTTGTTCAAGCCAGGATAGCAGCTCAGAGAGGGAGACGCAAACCACAGAGGAAATGAGTATACAGCTCTATTACTCACTTTACAAAAACGATTTCCCAGCCCTAATTCACAAGGCCAAAACATTTAATGGGGAATGTGCCTGTATTGTTCATTAAACACAATCCTTTCACCATATTTTGTCTTTTAAGGGCAGCACTTCAAGAACTTCATTAAAAAAAAAAAATCACCTGTAAAGGGAGAAAAAAAAATAATGCATTTAATTCAAGCACTGCTTTTTAACATTCCATGACATGTTAATAACCAAAACATCAGACCAGGTTTACAAACTCCAGAAAGGTCCTTGCAATTAGTAAAGGTGTCCTATAAGCAGGTGGTTGCCTAGAAGATTCGATTTCAGGGAGAGAAGACCCCTGATTTTTCCTCATGTCCTTATTCTCACCTATGGTGTCCCTGATGCCTGAAAAATTCTCTAAGTGTCCTTTGCCTTCAATACTCTTTTGCTACAAAGGTGCGGGGCCTGCCTCACCATTACCAAGTCTCACTACCATTTCCCCGCCATGTATGTAAAAAAATGACATCTTGCCCCAAGAGTAGGTTTTATGGCCTCCTCTGGTGGCACAGTGGTTGAGCGTTGGCTGCGAAGCTGCCCGCAGCCTCTGCAGCGCCGGTTCGATCCCTGGCTGCTGGGCGAGGGTCCCACATGGCGAGAAGACCTCTCCTGCCACCTGCTGCTCCCCTGAGCAGTGTACTTCGTCAGTCTGTCTGTCCTGTTCCCCGCTCTGGCTCTGGTGAATTCTCTCACCCTCCCACGTTTCTGACTGTACCCAGTGCTTGTATAATAAATAAATAAATCTTTTAAAAAAAAAAAAGAGTAGGTTTTAATAAGGGCACAGGGCACTAGACACTAGATTGTTTTTCACATAACAACTCAACAGAAATAATAGTGACATCAATCAGCTACAAATGACAGTCCTATGCCAGAGACTGGTGAGAATATTGTATATGTACAAATGTTAAGGTCACTGACATTTTCTATGAGAAATATCAGCACCCTCCTCCCATCCTGAAAAAAAAGAAAAACCACCCACAAACCCTCAAGAACAATAAACATCAGCAAACCTTTCCTAGCACGGGTGAATTCAATCTTCTTCTCACCTTTTACCCAGGTGTCTGATCCTAGTCATATATTTGTCCGGGTTGGCAGCGCTCATCACTGTTGTATAAATTGTGTCTCTGAAAATAATGAGAGTAACTTTTATATACATATCATTTCCCTAAATTCCAAAGGAAAAAATACCAAGCCCTTCCCTCACATGTGACCTTAGATGGGAATATAGCTGGCTCCCCACCTGTCAGAATAGTTAAAATTTATAAACCAATTTATCACACAGTGAAAGTGCTCTTTCCTTCTATTTTGACAACACTGAAAAAGGCCACATTCAAATTCAAAATTCTCAGACTCCTCAGAGTTCCATGCTGCGGCAGTGAGGAAGCACCAAAACTGGCCCTCACCCCTCTGGGCCGCATAAGCTGCACGTGTGGACATCTCAGCCTTTGAATATAGGCTCCACGTGAGTCCAGTCTGCATACCCTGTCAGAACACCAGCTAAGGACGTGGACCACACAGGCCCCAGAAATGGACTTGGCACATTCAGGCTGAGAATTCCTGGAGCCTGGGGCCAGACTCTGGGTGGGCAAATGCCTCTGGCCCAAAGCATTGCTAATAACAAGGGAGAGTCAGAGTAGGGTCTCTGAAGGGCAGAGATCAAGACTGGGGACTCACCTGCTCAGCTGTAAGGATGAAAAGTACATTGTTCATCTTTCTGCAGAGCAATAGACTAAAGAACTTGAGTGCAGGAGAGCACACACGTGCACACACACACACTGAGCCTCCTTCCCTTCACTACCTTCAGCTTCATCATTCTCAGCACCAGTTGGGGTGCTTGCTCAAGGCATCAGGAGCCAAGTTGTTCAAGAATAGGCAGAATTAGTAGCCCTGGGCCCCACAGCTGAGCCGTACACCTGACTGCACATAGTCATAATTCTACTCTCCATCATTATTTTCTTTGCACAACGCCCCAACAGAGGATGCTAATTGCAGGTGGGTGCAATTTTGTAGCACAGCACAAGGGGGCAACAAACAGCGAATGTGTCTCCAGATTTAGAGTAACTTGACAAACTACCCCACTTGAAGGTAATCACTATACTTAACCAGCCTGAGATTCAGGAATCTGTTAATTCTGACTCAGTGATGATTGTTAGTTAAATGCAGTTTTGCCTGCATTTTCAATTATACATTAGAGGAGGTTATATGATAAAGGAAAATGCTATTTGGTAAACTATAATTTCTTCTAACAATTCTATTTTGACAAAACATAGCAGATGCCATTTAACATCCCTAACTTTACACTCATTCATCTTCAGGGATTTCAGCTAAGGGTAATAATCCAAAAGCAATGAAAGAAATGTGCAATATGTTTATTTCAGAATTTTAACACTGGAAAAACAAGCAACGAGAATACGTAGTTCAATTATCACTCAATTGGCCTCAATACAGCTATTTAAAATGACAGGGGTTGTTCATGAGCATAAAAAATGCTTTATTAAAATAAACATAACTATTTTATTGTAACACTAATTTTTATAGATATATTTAAAATTTATGTAACTATAAGAACACAAATAGGTGTTTAATCCCTATTTTTAAATGAATATGAAGAGGCAAAAGTATGCACTTCTGGAGCAGTAAATGGCATGTTGGAATTGGCCCCTACGGCTGCTAAGAGTCAATTGTGAAATATGCAGGAAGCTCCAGGGCCATCAGTAAGCTTGCTATAGACCAGGTGGGAGTATTTATGATGGAGATTAAGAGTAGACAATTTGAAAAAGAGGCTCCACGAGACCAGAAATCTGGCTTACAGGCCAAAAGCTGGAGGTGAGGGTAGAAGTGATTAATATAGTCGTTAAACCAGCTATAGAAATGAAAACTCCTTAGGCACCAGTATCAGATGCTATAGAAAGTATCAGGCAGCACAGACTAGAGGTAGGATGTGGATATTGAATGCCAGTGCAGAATCTCTGGTCCTTACAAATCAACCTAGTCACAGCTAGAACTGATTAATTTAACAAATGTTAACTTCACAAAGGGATGAGCCCCTCCCAAAGAGAAAAAGGCTCTATCAGCACAATTTCTGCACTGGCGAGGGGCAACAGCAGCTGTCCTCCTGCCCACCTGAGCTTATGCAGGTGCTTCTCCTCACTGACCTTCCTTTGCAAAGCAGTGGGGGCAGCTCTCCTCCCAGGTCCCCCACCTGTGACTCTGCAGGCCTCTCTTTTAGCAAATTCGTCCCGTTTGGAGGCAACCCTTTCTGCCTGCCTGTGTCTATGCAAATCTCCTTTAGTCTTCTCTCTCTTTTTATAATAAACCTGCCCTTTTAGATATAACTATGCCTCTGTTGCCTGGGACATGTGCCAGTGCCGTTGAAAGGGGAACTCTGGTAAACCTTTTCCCAGCGGTAACCCAAGGGTCCAGCTCTCTGAACCCAGGACCTCTCCAAACCAACTTCATTTACACCGCTAACATCAATAAATGCTACACACTGGGGGGTAGGGAGAGGGACAGTTGTTGGTTTTCTGCTCCAAAGAGCTAGTTTACTAGAATATCACTTATTATCCAAAATAGCTTATTTGTTAAGAGTGATAAAATACTGATTGGCTAGTGTACTTTTCTGTATTTGGCAGCTAGAATATATTGTTCATGGAATGAGTTTTTTTTAGTATTAATCTTTTTATTAGGCCACTCAAAATCTCCCAGATATTTTGCAGATACATTCCTATTATAGTACAATGTGAAAATAAAAAGCAAAACAAACAAAATCCCCATTTTGAAAATATCATATCCAAGAATCATAAAGCACCCAAAACAAAAGTTATTCTAGAAGCTATCAGCAAAACTACTATTTTGTATTTGTGTAAAATAGAATCATTTTAAAAAAATCAACTAGGTATTTAAAACTAAAGTCACTTTTGAGGTTTTTTTTTTTTTCTGTTAGGCTATTTCTTTAAGAATATTCTTTTGAAATTTTTGCCTTGGAGAAAGCAGAAGTGAGGATAATGAGGAAATAGGATATGGTGGGTTTCAGAATTTATCGAAGGAGTAGAAATAAAACTATTTATTTGCAGATGTTTCCTCTTTTATAAATTAAATCCTCTCTCACTAAGCAAAAGGAGGTGTCTGCAGGCTTAATGATCTGGATCAGGCAATACCTTGAGCAGGAGGAGGAGAGAAGCTATTGATCTATTCAGTTTTGCTGTGATGGTGACCTTGAACTTCCTGTGGGGGCTTGTGGTTTTTCAAGTTTAACTAAGGGCTTTCTGTGGTGGGGTACCTACACACAGCCCAGCACTTCACCCCAGAAAAGTACAGGGGTAAAATTATAGGCTATAAATAGAAAAATGGTTGCTCACAGGAGGCTACCACTACCATGGGCACGGGCTAAAAAGAGAAATCAACTTTGACACTGAATTTTCTGTAGAACAAGTGTGGAGATAGCAGGAGCTCCCTGGGAACAATGTCTAAAGTTTAGTTCTAACAGAGAGTAATGAAGTTGCTCACAACCAGTTCCACTGCCGGAATGATTAGGAATGGGCATGTCAGAGTCCTCCTTCCAGATCTTTCCATCAGCTTTACCTTTGTTTTTCTTCATGGACTTCTCACCTGACTTATGATATATTTGTTTGTTGTGTTTGTTGGTCCCTCTCCTCTCTTCCCTCCTCCCCCAGCAGAATGATAGATAGTCCCAGGACAGCAGAGACCTTTGTTTTCTTCACTCCTGTATCCACAACACCGAGAAAATCTGCTCCACAGGCACCCTCAGGCCCCTGCAGTATGTGTGTATGTGTGTGTGTGTGTGTGTGTGTGTGTGTGAGAGAGAGAGAGAGAGACAGACAGACAGACAGACAGAGAGAGAGAGAGACCATTTTGTGGTGAAGGATGAACAGATGTGTTTAACATCACTTACTTGTTATAAACTGGAACCACTGACAAAACCTGCATACAAAAAAAAAACCATATTATAGACACTTTCAAAAAGTAGAAGAAATACATGTAGAATATCTGTAGGAACAAAATAACTAGCACCTTTGTGTATCTCAAGAACACAGAATCACAGACACCTGAATCCTTTTTCTTTTCTCTTTTAAACAAAGACTTTATATTACAGTTGTGTCTTATTTTTAACGTGCAGAAACATTCAGCTAAAGACGAATACTTTAATCAATATTGACAAACAAGTTTGAAAATGTGATTTTTTTTTTAAGTTTGCAATTAGATTACAAAAAACTAATAGTTTCATTTACCACATTTGTTGGATTTCAAGGAGGAATTTTTTTTTTTTTGGCTTATTTTTTTTTAATAATAAATTTTATTTTTATATTCCCCATACAATTGCAACTCCCCCATTTTGACCCCAATCCCTCCCCTCAAGGAGGAATTTTTTTTAAACACTGTTGACAAAGACAGCAAACATCCTGGGTCAAAGTTGGCCATGCCTTGCAAGTTACCTGGAAAAGGGCCTCCAGGCTGAGGTTTGCCTGCCCCGTGGCATTAAGGGCTTTGATAGCAGGTGTTCTATAAGAACAAAGATCAATGTCACTTGGCACATCAGGAAACCCTACACCCCCAGCTCTTATTTCGGGAGGCACAATGTGGAGCCTGACTTTATGCTCTCACGTTCCCCTAAACAGACTCTGGCTTACAAACAAATTTTCTACCTAGACCCAGGTGACCATGGTGGAGTTAATTTAACAGTCAAGCGAAGCCATTGTTTTGCTGTAGATTTGAATAATCGGGGCAGTAAAGGCACATGGAAATATACCAGTCCCCCATTAATCCCAGGGGGATACATTCCAAGACCCCCAGTGGATGCCTAAAATTGTGGCCTGTACTTAACCTTATTCAGCCGACCCACCAAAATTTGGGGGTTAAGGGACACTAACCCCCATGTAGTTGCACAGTTGAAAACCCACGTATAACTCCATTAACCAGTTCTGCATCTGCAGTTGGTTGAATCTGTAAATGCCAAACTGCAGAAAGAAAAATATCCCCATGTAAGTGGACTCATGTAGTTCAATTTGTTCAAGGATCAACTGTGTATACTGTTTTTGCCTATACATCTATAGCTATGATGAAGTTTAATTTATAAAATAGGCATAGTAAGAGGTTAACAACAATAAAATAGAATAATCACAGCAATCTACTGCAGTAGTAAAAGTTGTATGTGGTCTCTCCTTCAACTTATCTTATTGTAGGTGATATTTTTAAATCTTGGTTGACCATGAGTAACTGAAACCATGGATAAGTGGGGACTCCTGTGGAGTACTACCTGCTGTTCAGGGACACACTGACTTACAACTAGAGAATTTGCAGAATCAAAAGGGTAAATGACAGCCCACAACTGGTTTATTCACTTATTAAAAGAAATGTCTTTCTTCCCAAAAAATCTGGCATAGAAAACCATGAATTTTGCTCTAACATTTTCTTTTACAGATAGGTAAACAGAGGCCCAAGAGGCCATCTTGTGAACCTTACAAGGCTGGTAGTAGGATCCAGAGCTCCTGAACCTGGGGTCTGAACCCCCCACCATCCAACCAACTGCCAAGAGGCTTTCCTACTGCTCTTCACCACACACGACATTCTCCATTCCAGCCAAGGCACTGGCAAGGGAGCCACGGTACATTTCCTGGGAGGGGCTAGCATCTATAGCCAATTCCAGTTTCTGTAATATCAATAGAAGTGGCACATTCTTCTGACCACAAGAAAACACTACAAGCCACAAAGTGTCCAGAGACCTACCTTCGATCATCTCTCTTAGGTGGTGGCTCCCAGTGGTCATAATTTGTCTCAACTCGGAACCACCTACAACAGAGCACATCATCTTGTCTTATCCAGGGTCATTTGGGACAGAGCTAAGGAAGAAATATATAAAAATAAAAAAATACCTCCAGTTTCACAAATTTAAAAAAAAGGATTATTGACGCAAAATGATGGGAGTCTCTGATTCTACTCACGCTCCACTTAAAGGATCTAGGGGCCAAATGTCTGCTGGGCCACCCCTGTTCCTTGTGATGACCACTCCCTCCTTAGGGGATACGCCCCCAACAATGTAGTAGACATCAGCAATAAGGGGAGTGTTGGCCAATTTGTTGACAGCTGCTTCAAAGTCTTCTGATTCACTCAGGGTCTGAACAGGAAGACAAATCTTCATCATTAACGTCATCAGACACAATAGTTATTGATGAACAAATGGTCCATAGCACATTCTCCTGATATATTAAGCTATGACTATAATCTTGAACTGCTCTGACCTCACCTCTTGTCACCAGGACTCCTGATATGGATGAAACCTCAGTGGGGAGCCAACAACAGAACTCACAAAAGGGAAGAACTGTCGACAAGTCCTAGGCCTGGCTCATTAAACATGGACTGAGAGCTTTCTAGGCAGGTCACCCTCACAAATGACACTTGGTGGCTCTTCATTCATCTGTCCTTTCAACAGGTATTTCTTGAATACCTGTTACGGTGCTAGACACCATGCTAGTGTGGGGACAGAGTAGTGAGTGAATATGACTGATTTGGCCTCGTTCTTTCCAAATTTCCAAGGGTAACAGGAAATTCAGTATTCAGTTGTGACATACAGTGTCCACACAGGGGAAGGAGAGTCTATGGAAGTCACAGCAGGAAATGGCCTCACCCAGGACATCAGAGGAAGCATTTCCCAGGCAGATGTCACTTGATATCAGGTCAAAGACAGGTGAGAGTGGTGTCTGCAGACTGGGAATGGGAAGAAAGTTCTAGTTTGATGGAATAGTTTGTCAATGGCTTGGGGATAAAGAGCATACTACATTAGAGCAGAGACTTAACAAATTCTCAGATTCTGTGGGGATTCATGAAGGCTTCCAAAGGTCTGTGGTATGGGGAGTTAAGGGAATCACTTCCCAAACCTTCAGCTTTTACATGTGCTTCCTCCTCAAGCTGCTCCACTCAAGAATATCCCCAGTAGAGTTAGCCCCTCCCTGTCCTCTCATTCTTCCTTCAAAACTTGAGTAACCTCTCCAGAAACCAAAGTTGAGTTCAGTTCATTCTGGATACTTCTCCCTATAGCAATATCATGCTACTGATTGAAATCTGTCATTAGCTCTTCAATTAGTCTCCAACTTTATCTTTGACACTTACTTGCAAAGGTTTGATACTTATTATCCCAAAGATTGATACCCATTTTGCAAGCCTTTAGATGCTTATTCTTTGCAGGAGTTTCTTAAATTAAAAACAACAGTGTTAAGTGACACAGAGCATCACAACAGTTTGAAGGATGAAGTTAGGGTGCGCTGAACTCCCTGGTAAATATACTCACAGTGCGAATAAGCCAGCTGACTGGTGAGTTTTTCTGAAAAAGGGCAGCAACCATATTCTCCCACCACCAGCCTTTATCTGCAGAAATGAGGAAGGAACACTAAGTGGATACACAAATCACTGCCCAGGTGCCATTTAAAAAATTCCTTCAATTTTTTTTCTTTCCCATAGTACAAGGTGAAAGAAAGAAAGGTTAGTAGATGAAGAGTGATTTTACTATGATCCGGTTTCAAAGATTAAGTTCTAATTTCATAGCAACCATAAAAATGTTTTATATACAAGAATAAAACGTGTTATATGTAATGCATATATACATACACACATATATACAATAAGCAAATACGATCTTCCAGCTAGCAAAAATATGCAGATATTTACTTGGGTTTTGAAAGCAGAATGTTCTATGCCTGGAAACAGTATGTTAATAATTATGTTAAAGGAAATTATTGCATTAATTAATCCAGGCAATATCTCCCCCCACTGGAATGGAAGTCCCTGCCATGTAGAGAGTAGGTGTTCTTCTACATGTTCTGTTGGGTGAGTGAAGGAAGTTTTTGAATAAAACTCAATAGAGAGACTGCTTAAATATACTTAGCTCATTTTGATTACCTCGTTGGTCACCAGAAATTGTAAATTTGTGTGGACTCTGACCAGTCCATAATCCTACATAGCCAATAAAAGTGGTTCCTGTGAATGCAACCTGAAATCAAGAGAAAAAAGTGTCATTTTACCATTCCAAACAAATGCACATTGAAAGCACCTGTTTTGCCACAGCTTCATGGATGTTTTCTTCTTTGATCCAACAAAAAAGGATAAAAACTGTGAAACAGTCTTCTAGAAGGCTTAACTTTGGGGATCAGGGGATAGAATTCAGGCTTAACCTTGGGGCGGGGCGGGGGGGGGGGTCAAGGGATAGAATTCCCATCCATCTTGGACGGGAAAAAAAGGTCCCTGTTGGTGATTCCACCACCAGTGGAATTCACACTTCTATGTGATTCACATTTACATAATAGTTGTTGCAATAACCTGTTATCTGCATGGGATATACCACTCACATTTATCACTACTCTGAAATCATGGTAGTTATTAGACCCACTGGTAAATTTTACTATTAAGAAAAAGTGTAGTATTGAATGGCTTTATTTCAACAGAACTGATTTTCTCTATAAACTTGTGCATTTTTAAAAATGTATTTATAAAGCATTAGTCTGAAAAGGGAATGATAGATTTCACCAAAGGGGTCCATACACAAAGATGAGCAAGAAACCCCACTCGGGAAGTAGCAAAAAGGCTTAGATTTAAAAACTTATGTCAGCTTGGTTAAAGAAATAAACATTATGAGTCTTATAAGAGAAAACACAAGACTTTTTATTAGTAGCAATCATATTAAATCATATTAAAATTTTCAACATCTATAAATTAGTTTGCATACATCTTTCATTTAATGAAATCCTCAGAGTTATCTCATGAGTTATCTCATAAATTAAGGGAGTGAGTGCTAATGATTGCAAAACAACCACTTATCACCCTGAGGAGAAAAATTTAACTCAGAGTCAAAACAAAACTCAAAATCAAAAACAAAACAAAAACTCAAACAAAACAAAAAATCAACCAGTGCCGGGCTCATGCTGTTTGATAAAGGTTAATTAATACCTTTATATTTTGAGAAATAGACCTAAGCTAATGTTTTTCTTAGAAAACAGAATCTTAAGTCACAACCTTTTTTCATTTACTTATTTATTTCTGCCTCATGTGGTTGTACAAATAATTTAAAGTGAAAAATTTAAGGAAGAAATGTAGTGCCTTCTTTTTTTTTTTTTTACTTAACACTTTCTGTGCTATTCTCCACTGTAGTTATTTATGTTTATTGAGGTAACATTAGTTTACATCACTGTATAAGTTTCAGGTGTGTAGTTTCTCACCTCAGTGACTGCACATGTCACACCACACCTACCATCAAATGTCCAGTCCCTGTCTACCACCAAGCTACCCCCTCCTAGCTCTACCTCCCTGGTAACCACCATTTTGTTGGCAGAGTTTAAGGGTTTGTTATTGCTGTGCTTGTTTAATTGTTTTTCTGTATATTTCACAATAAGTGTAATCATACAGTATTTGTATTTCTTCTTTTGACTTATTTCACTTAGAATAATCCTCTCAAGTTCCATCCATATTGTCAAAAATGGTAAGATTTCTTTTTTTAGGCTGAATAGTATCCATTGTCTATATATACCTCAGATGTTAGGTATAAATGACCTTTCCTCCTAGACTCAAATAGGGCTTTCTATAGAAGCACCACATTTCCATTTTCTGAAATAAAATGGAAATAAATCTATCTTGCTGCAAAGGTCTTTATAAAATGTACATCGTATATTCACTTCATTTGAATGATATGCTGACCCTCATGTTACTATCACCAACATGATACTGAACAAATTCAAATTATCAAAATCAAATTCACATTATAATTTCCAAGATATAAAGCATAAGCAGAAGATATAATTTGTAAGGTATTGTATCTAGCAGCTCTGAAAAACTGTATTTCTAAATGCTTGTCCTTTGCAAGACAGTTAATACTGACAAACCCTTAGCTGTGGCAAAAGACTCTAATTTATAGCTAAGGCTACATTTTGTGGAAGAAAACTGTTATGAGCTGAAAGTCTAGGTTGTTCCCACCTCTGTCATATTTTTCCCATGTGGTTTGGAAAAGGTGGTCTCTGGAACTCTCCTTCATCTGGAAAACAAGTCTTGTACCTGCCTCATAGGGCTACCTTGAGGCTCAAATGTGGCCTTAAATTTGAAAATATTTTTTAAATTAATGAACATGACACAAAAGTAAGACAGTAGTTATTTTGTGGATAACTTGCTCTTAATTTAGCAAAACAATGTATTGGCCATGAGCCCTCAGTAGAAAAACAATACCCAAGTGCAAACTGAAATCTGGTAAAAATAACCTGAGCACTGAGAATAAAGCCACACCAATGGGCTATTTCTCACGGGAGTTCCATGATAAACAGAAACAAATGAAGCAACAACTGTTATGGTGAGTTCTAGAGAGAGAGGTGAAGTAATTAATTTTATTATATATATGTCTTTGTCCACTTATAAGAATTTTTGCTCACTGTAGACAACAGAGAAAAGCATAAAGTAGTAAATAAAAATAATCATTACCTCATTATTCAGCAATAATTGCTAACACTTTAGCAGATTTCCTGTCATAATATATTATGTGTTTATATTATGTCATTATCACCACTTGAAACCATTATTAAAGTGATACTTCTGCCGTAAACTAAATTTTTAGTAGTGGTAAAAATAAGGAATGAAATTGTAAAGGGAGAAAGCTTCACTTTAAACATTTCTGTATTGTTTAAATTTTTATAAGAAAAAGTTTTTGTTTGTAAAAGCAGATGAACAAATGAGTATTTAGTGAGCTTTTAGTTTCTGTAACTCAACCTCTGTGCAAAAAACAAACAAAATACAGTTCTTGTCCTTCAGCACTGTTCCCCAAAGTCAAAATCTGGCTTTTGCATGCTCTGTTCATTTCACAGCAACTTAATGGACATGATTAATACTATCTCTTTAAGCATTTACTGTCTAACCTGTGACAATGTACATGTTATATTATATTTTTAAAGGTACTGTGATGAAAATAAAATCATCTAAGTGTAATTTTTAAAAAAGATTTATTTTTATTTATTTATGCATATGAGAACTAGGATGTAGGCCAGAGGTGCGGGGTATGAGAGGGTTCATCAGAGACAGAGGGGGAGCAAAACAGGTGGATTGACTGAAATACACTGCTGAGGGGAACAACCAACCGGCAAGACAGGAGAGGTCTGCTGCGCCATGTGGGTTAGCTCCCTGGTTGGGGATCAAACTTTCACCCACAGTGGCTGCTGATAGCTTGATAGCACTGAGACTTTAACCCCTGCACTACAAGGGAGGCCCCCCGCCCCCCCCAAGTGTAATTTTTAAAATATCAGATATAAGAGCATGACGTGGGTCAATCAAAATAGGTTTAAGTTATTTCTCAAGTTAACAAAGAAATCAAATAATAGGGGTAGGATTCAAACCCAGGACTGGCAGACCCAAAGCTGGGTGTTACTAGCCATTTGGCAACATACCCTATTCCAGAACACGGGAGAAAAGAGAATACAGGGGGGACTACTCACTGTCATAAGTGGAGAACTGATCATAGCTCCCTCCTCCACCCCGCCCCCCTCCCCAGAATTCCCTAAGGAATACTTATTGACCTTATTAAGCAGATACTCAATAAAAATAATAAATGATGCTTCTTTCTCTAAGTATAATTGATGCAAACCTGTCTTCCGGTTTTATTTTTGAAGGAATTTGTTTTATTTATTTATTTTTTTCAGTATCTTAAACTGAGAACATACTTAAGTAACAGGACATCCAAAGGATGGGTCACTTGCATTAGCAAGTCTCTCTGATTTCTGTATCTTTTTACCATATGGACTATAATACCTGCCCATTCTTTAGGAACTGCACATCCATAGTCATCTTGCGTAAGAGAGTCCCAAAAGGATAATCCAGATTTCTGCCGTGGTAAATGTGACCATTGGAGTCCTGAGCCACAATACTAGTGCAGAACCTAAAAAGAGAAAAAGTCAAAGGTGAATGATGAAAAAATAAGAAAGAAGAAAATGAATGTTTTAGTTTTAAAATTAAGTAAAAGCTTCTCTTCCTGATAATGAACGCCTGCTTTATAATCCTTGTGCAGGAATATGGATTCAAAATTCAATATGTAAAGTACAACTGGACACAACTCTTTGGTGTTTGTCCAGTGTTACTAGGTTTTCACCCTCAGCACACATGACATCATGAATACACTGAACGAGGATTTCATCCTAAATCCAAATCTGCAATTGACCATTCTGGGTTCAGCCATATCAGTAAACTCTGCTTATTCCTCAGCTTGGTAGTATGAAGTCTCCTTAATAGATCATTCAAAGCTAGCTCAAGCTCACCTCTCCTATGAACGTCTCAGAGCAAGTACAATAGCACTAAACCATTCTGTTTCATAAATATTTCATTTTGTCTCCTTGGGAAAGTGGTCAACCTTTTAGGGTCTTTGAGGCATTTTTCCTGTCCCCCTTAGAGCTCCTCGCAGAGAACAAATAAGAGAAAGGAATATTTTCAGAACTCCCAGACAGAGAGAAGAAGTTTGAGGGGAAAAAAAAGAAGGGGCTTAATAAATTCATTTGAATGCCCATATTCTCTGAAAAATACATAATACTATGTGAAAAAATTTATAATTAGAAAATTATTTTATAATTAGGAAAATTTTATAATTAGGAGAATATGTAACTTAATTTTTTGTTGGTCTAAAAAAGGAATCTTGGCCAGGTTTTAATTTTTTCCCAAGGTTTCTGATCTGAACTTCCAAAAGTTCATGAAAAGAGAGGCACTCATAAAACATTAGGAACAGCTAAGGCCAAGTCTTCAGTCTCTCTGTTGATGGTGGTTTTTCAGTTTGACAAACAATAATCTTCTGTGTCATGCCCAAATATTTTAGCATGAGGTAACCCACAGTGTGAGCGGCAACCCGGCTTTGGGAGAAGCACTGCAATGGGGACATGAGGTTTTTTTAGAAGCAACTCTAACCACTCACCATCCACCTGGCTTTTGGCAAGTTGTGGTCTCTGAGGTTTGGTCATCACTGCAGTTAACACCATCCCCAGAGCCTCATGCCCAGAAGGCTCCAAAAAGGATAGCTAATTTTACTCTGATTCAAAAAGCTTTATCTCAGAAATGAGAGCAAACATTTCCTTTGTTAATGCTAATGACTTAAGATGGTGATTTGTATTGTCAGGTGATTCAATATATACCTTTATATCAAATTCAAAAGTTAGAACGTTCTTATTAGAACTCGTGCTTTTATCTGCTTGAATACTAGTGTCTCCAACAAAAGGTTGAAGTGAAAATAAGAACTGAGTTTTTTACTGAGAAAGTCACATGTCAGAATAGGAAAAAGGTGGGGGCAGGTGATGAGGCATGGCAAAATGAACTTGGTTCACCTGAAAAGCACTTTACTGTAACAAGGTTGTATCTTAACACATTCCTCTAAAGAGGGAGGCATGCACTGTGCTCCTTAACCTTGTTAGCTCAGAGATTCTCAGAAAGATGCCAAGAGAGAGTAAAATTCACTCTTTCATCATAGCTTGGAAGCCAGAAGCTGTCAGTATCTACCCGATGAAGCATACTAGATAAGGTTGCTGTGGTGGCAAAACAGTATGTCCTGATGGCAGGAACCAAGTCAAACCTCTCTAAATTCCAGAACCTTTTAGGAAGCCATAAAGACTTCAGGCTCTTCTAGCATTTGGCCTGGGGTCAACCACTCACTACTGCTTTCTCTTCTGTGCCCACATTTTAGGATGCCCCCTCTGTGTACCAAATACTGACCGGCCCTGTTCACAAGGATAGTGTGCCTGTGATCCCGTCTTTTAGACAGAATGGACTCAAGAGGAGTCAGAATCACCAGCCAGGACAAACATGGGGGGATAAACACAGGAGCTATGGGCTGGCAAGATGGTAGTCCCTGTCTTTGGTAGTGCTGTGAAAGCAGCATCAGGAATCTCACAGGAATCTTCTTTAGCCTAGAGAAACTGTGCCAATAATGCCTATCTTAGTTCTGCACTGTTCACCCAGCATTTAAGTCATATTCAGATACCAGCTGTTTCCTCTGCTCCTAGACTTATCACATCTGTCAGAAACCTGACACACGGGCACACAGCAACAACCCGCAACAGACTGGTCTCCTTGCTACCAAGTGTCCTGAAGCAACTAGTCTGAACTGTGACAAGGCAAGAGAAAAACTGTGAAAGCTGACATCTATAGGTTTCTTCTACTTCTCTCTGGCCTTGTGCTGAAGAGGAAACCTGGTTAAAAGAAACTATGGGAAAAGACAGCTGCAAGAAAAAGATGCTTGAGGGAATTCGTGTCCTGCAATATAACTCCAAATAAACATAGATAAAATGACATCTTTCTGGAAGAGGCAAAATTCCTATGCTCATGATCCTTATCAGAAGTATTATCAAACAAACCTAAAAGTATAGATCATTTTTATGATTAAATATATATCTTTATGTATATTGTCTTTGCAAAAATGAGTAAGTATGAAATGATATAAATTGTTCCAGTTAATATGGAAACATGGTACCTTGTTAAAATAAAGTTTTAAAACTTAATGGATTAAGGGCCTCCCCTGGTGGCACAGCGGTTGAGCACTGGGCTGTGAAGCGCCGGTTGGATCCCAGGCTGCTGGCTGGCGAGGGTCCCACATGGCGCCTGCGGACCTCTCCTGCTGCCCACTGCTCCCCTCAGCAGTGTATTTCTTGGTCAGTTTGCCTGTTCTGTTCCCCACTCTGTCTCTGGTGAATTCTCTCACCCTCCCGCGCTTCTGACTGTACCCAGTGCTTGTATAAATAAATAAATAAATCTTTTAAAAAAACCCAAAACTTAATGGATTAAATGTTCCCAGATTTGTTCAGGGGAAAAAAAAAATGAAGGGGGGTCGAATGAAGGCAAAGATCAGTCCCTGATCTAAAAGCTAGAGGTCAGTGAGTTAACTACAGGGTCCAGCTGAGAATGGGGCTTGTTTTCAAAATCCTGGAAAAGTACTTGCTGAGCAGAGATTGGAAAAGGAGGGGTGATATCTGAGGGGAGGAGGTGGTGTGCCCAAGATCAGCAGACTCAGCGAACATAGCCTCCAAGAATCCAAAGACAGCTGATGCAAATGCAAAAGGGAGTTTATTACGGGCTGGAGTCTGGGCTCAGGGCACCTACCAACGCAGTGGCAGATATCGAGAGCGCGGAACAGAGGAAGCAGGGGTCTATTATAGGGTCACGAGTGGCGCGAATTTTGAAAGAAGCTGGCAATTACTCATTGGCTACTACAAAGGCATTTTGGCGCGCACAGTTACAGTTTCAAACTGATTGGATGGTTAGAGATTCTGTCCCATTTATGGATAGGACTGCCCTGGGGTGGTCTGCTTTTTCGTCACCAAGTGGAGTGAGGGTTGTGACTGCTGAAACTATCTCCGGAATGCGGCTGGACAAGGACTAACATATCAAGGTGGAGGATATACAAAATGGCGAAACCTTGGCTAAGCTTGCTTCCACAGAGGGAGAAAAAGCGGCTTCCCATAGGGAACAGCATTGGGTCAGAGTTTTCCTTCTCTAAGCCTGTCAGTAGCTGCTCAGATTTACCAAGACGCAAAGAAGCGCTGGGTGTTTCCCGGCAGCCTGGTCACCACCCAGTTGTTACCACACAGATAGGACGTCTCCTCCCACTCAGAAGTGGCAGGAGTCCCTGGCGAGGCCCTTGCGAAGGGCGCTGGCGTGGGGCACTCACGCGGTGTACTCGTAGGCCAGGTTCACCAGGAGGCAGTCGCCCAGGCTGAGGCTCAGGAAGTTGCACATGCCCTGGATCTCATCCAAGAAGGGCTGCGGCACGAAGTGCTCCAGCTCCTTCTCCGTCGTCTTTCGGATCACCGCGTGGACCCACTTGGGGACCCTATCCCTAGAAACGACAAGGTCGTGAAGGGTTTACAGGTCGAACTGGTGCTAGGGTGTGCCTTTGGGGAGTGGTACCTAGGACTTTGGCCCCCGAGGGTGCAGCCTAGGTGCCTCCCCAAGATAATTGACAGCCATTCAATCTGCAACGTCCAGGAGGGAAAAAGAAAACCCCGAGGGTCAGAAGCAGGGCTGGCGAGGAGGGTGGTCCCCAGAGAGGTGGGCTTGGAAGCCTGCGAGCCTTGCAAGGAGTTGGGTGGGCTGCGCCCCCTTCCAGGTAGCTGGGAGCGCAGCTCCAGCTGTCACCCTGTCCGGAATGGCACCAGGACGGGCGTGCCTTTGGTGACAGCCGTTCGAAAGCCAAACCAGCCGCGTCAGATCACCCTCAAGGCCGACGCTGCAGAACAGCAGCCAACAAATACCAGGCAATCCTGGTATTTTGGTCCCAGGCAACCCCTCCCCACACCACAGGCCGGGGTTGAGGGGCTTGGCGTGCAGGGCAAGGCTGCCGCAAAGGGAGGGAAGGGGTTATGAGTCTTGGTTTGTAGCGCGTTGTGCAGTGAGCGTCTCGGCTTTCCGGCTCTCGCGCCCAGCTGCTGGTGTCTCTAAAGACCCCGCCCCGCACCCCAGTGCCAGCGCTCACCCCATAATGCTCTCCATCGCCCCGCGCAAGAAGTCCGGGTCGTACTGCCGCAGCACCGGCAGCCAGCGCAGCTTCGGGGCCTCGTCCAAGCTCACGTTGAAGAGTGGCGGGGCCGGGGGGTCGGTGGCCGCAGACACCCCCGCGCCGGCCAGCAGCAGCAGTAGCGCCAGTTCCGGACGCGCCCGCGGGCCTGCGGTTAGCATGGCTACGGCTCCCGAGGCCACAGTTAGGATGCGAGGCCCGCTCTCCGGGAAGCACGCGAGGAGGAAGTGCAGGAGGAGCTGGGGCGGTGCCGGGCGAGCTGGAGGTGGAGCCCGCACTTGGCCTGGCCTACCGGCACCCTGGTCACCCCCGTCCCGCGCCGCAACCCTGAGTCCCGCACAGCTCTCAACCCTGCCAGGGCTTGAACTACCAGCCCCTGGCTTCTCCCCGCACTTCCCACCCCGTCCCACCCACGTGGGCCTGCGGGGTAAACTGCGTTCTGCAGGGGGTTAAGGAAATGATTTTCAGTAGCAAAGAGTAACAGGATAATTCTACTATGGCAGAAAGTGACCTGTCCCTTTCCGCCTGTCTGGCTCATATTTGCATACTTCAAAGTTTTAACTGGCTTTTATGATGGGCAGGAGAGCCTTTTCTTTTCAATACTCACACCTCTTTGCAGTTAAAAAAAAAAAAAAAGCAAAAAAGTTAGCTAACAGTTAGGTGCCAAGTATTTTTGCTCAGTAGGTTCTATCAATCATTCCTGTTTTCCTGATGAGAAATGTGCCTTTTGGAGAAATTAGGTGACTGGCCTGGGTGACACTGGGGATCCTCTGCTCTACCCTCCAAGAAGCTACCAGAACCCTTACCCCACCTTCACAATCACTAACCTTAATCACTAATCTCACCACCTCTTTGCGTCTCAATGTCTGAGACAGAAAACTTTTCTTAGGCCAGTCACCTGACACAGTAAAGCTGGGAAGTGCTTAATAGATGGCAGGGTCATCTATGGGCAAAATAAAATATTTAGAGGAAACTTGAAAGTTTGTTTTAGTTTTTTCCTCTCATCACATAGAATACAAAGTTATCTTTATCTCTGATTTTCCCCATTTTTACTGGACTTAGAGTCACTATGCTAAAGTTTCAAGTCTGTTTCCACATAGGTCTTTTCGAAAAATCAAGTCTGCTCATTTGCAAAGTGTGAGTAACAGCAGTTCCAGGCTTAGGACAATGAAAGTCACCAAGGGAGCAAACAAATTAGCTAAGTTCAAAGAGGTCTACAGCTCAGGGATACCAACTGTGTACATTCTTTACAGCTGGCATCTCATTTTGTTCCCTTTAAAGGCAGTGTAGTGGTTTTCAATGCAATCCCTGCAATATTCCCCCTTCCAAGGGTGGAGGCTAATTCCCCTGACCGTGGGCTGTTCTTAGTGAATGTAGTTGAAGTCAGTGTCTGATTTCCAAGAGCAGGTCTAAATACAGTGTGGCCTCCTCCTTGCAATCTCTCTGGCATTGCTTACCAGAGTCAGTTGTCATGTTTTAAGAACATGAAGAAGTCCTATGAAAAGGTTCCTAAATAGAGGAACTGATCCTCTGGTCCATCTTCCTTCTGATTTTAAAAAAAACTTCACAAGTCTTTTTTTTTTTTTTTTTTTAACAAAGGTTTATTATTTATGTATATAGGCCAGAGGTGTGGGGGTGAGAGGATTCACCAGAGACAGAGACAGAGTGGGGAACAGAATAGGCAGACTGACTGAAATACACCGCTGAGGGGAGCAGTGGGTGTGACAGGAGAGGTCTGCTGCGACATGTGGGCAGATCCCTGGCCGGGGATTGAACTTGTGCTGCAGTGGCTGCGGAGAGCCTCATAGGTCAGGGAGGCCCTTCACAAGAGTTAAGTCTTAAGGTAACTTTATTCCCCTGGCCTCAAAGTTATTCTTTGACATAAGTAAAAACATGTATACTATAAAAGATTCAGAAAGTAAAGTAGAAAGAAAATATCATCTATGATTCCAACACCAAAGAAAAACCCATTTAATATTTGGCCTATTTCCTCTTGAGCCTTTATCATTTCCCATTTTCTTATAAGCGTAAGTGGAATCCATTTCACTTTTGAATTTTGATCTTTTCATTTATATTAAGCATTTCCTACTGCAAACATTTTAATGGCTATTTAATATTTCATCAAGTGGGCAAATCAATTTATTTAACCATTTCTCTACTGAGATCAGATTGACAAAACAATGAAAGAAGAATTTGCAAAAAAAAAAAGTAAAACCACATAACAAGTACTCTATACAAATATATACACTAAGATAGCACAGAATTTGCCATATTCTATTCTTGCTTACATTTTAAAATAAGTGCAGGCCAAGGACTCTGAAGTAGGAAAGGTTAGTCCCTTATAAAAAAGACCAAGGGTTGTTTCTTTATAAAAGAGACAAAGCCTTACCTTACTATTTATGTTTCAAATCTTTTTAAAACCTTACAAAATACATTCTAAAATATGTAAGCAATAGTTTTTAATTGCTTTTATACAAAGTATGTCACTTGGTAGAACTGTGTTATCATTTGGTAAAACATCTGAAAAATGTGTTTATTCAAACCCTAGAAATCTGATGATAGAATTGAGATGAGCAGAAAGGAAGAGTGGAGTGTAAAGGGGGCAGGGACCAATGGACAGTAAGGAGAACGGTGCCCTGGTGCTGGGTGTGGTGTGGCAACACACATCTGAAGAAGTGTCATCCTATACCTCTGTATCATATACACTGTTGTAAACCAATTTTATCTCATTAAAAAAAAGTTTATTGGGGCCTCCCCGGTGGCGCAGCGGTTGAGCGCTGGGTTGCGAAGCTGCCCGCGGCCTCTGCAGAGCCGGTTCGATCCCCGGCTGCTCCCCGGCCACCGGAGGAGGGTTCCACATGGCGCGACAGACCTCTCCTGCCGCCCGCTGCTCCCCTCAGCAGTGTACTTCGGTCCTTCTGCCTGCTCTGCTCCCGGCTCTGGCTCTGGTGAATTCTCTCACCCTCCCGTGCTTCTGACTGTACCCAGTGCATGTATAAACAAAACAAACAAACAAATAAATAAATAAAAGCATGCCTCTATTAAAAAAAAAAAAAGTTTATTGAAAATACTTTGAAGAACAGAATATTTCAACTGATCAAAAATTCTGGTTAATACAGAGTTACCACGCAACACTACAGATAGATTATAAATTTCTAGAGTCAGACTATGAATAAAACTAAAATTTATAATAAGCAATATCTTTTGAAAAATTATGCATACTTGTGTAAGCCACAATCTTTTCCTTCATAAAATCAAGAAGATATTTCCTATCGCTGTGTTCATAATAAGCATCAGTTTGTTGGCAAACAGCTATTTCACCCTACTGCACTGAACTGTCCCTTCTTTTAGATGCCCCCAGCCCTAAGCCATGGCTTTTTTGTAGCTCTGTTAATAAACAGTCTTACACTATAGTCATTTTGTAAGTCTGTTTCCTTCGGTGGCTTGAAACTTTCTATGGCATGAACATCATGTTTGCAACCTACACAGCACCTAGCAGAGTGCTTTGCGCACAGTAAGTATTCAATATACACTGAATTTACATTTATATTTCAAAATACATATTTCAAACTAGTTCACTCCAAAATGGACGCGGTGTAAACCAAATATTTCTAATGACCGTAACTATAGTTCCACTTCAAGTAAATTAAGCAAAAAATAAAATAGAACCCTGATTTTCTATGAGAAACTACTGAATGTTTACTTTGTTGCAAATACCACGCTAAGAGCTTATAGATATCAGTTCTCAAAAATCTGAAAACAATCAATGAGGTAGGTGGTATATAGAGAAACTGACTTGACAATTAAATCATGCATTAAAATATTTGCTGAGCACCTACATGCTAGGCCCTGAAGTGGCACTGGGGATACAGCAGAGAACAGACTCTGTTCTTTGTGGAGCTTTTTTTCTAGTGGAACTTGCCAAGATCGCATGCATAATATATCGGTATTCTAAATTTATACATCACTTTGTGTATATTATGAGCTTGGACAATTTGAGCTCATTCTTGAAATGGATTGGTTTTCAGTTTTAACAAAAGTTTGAAACTGAAAATCCAGAGTTTGGAACCTGGTGACTTTTTCAGGGTAAAAGTCACCCTAAAAAGTCACTCTGCCTCTACTGGTAGCATCCCACCTTGTGGGTATCAGATCTTCAAATTTATAGCAAACAGGAAATATTCTCAAGAGAAGACTTATAAAATAATAAAGGAATACAAATGATTCTATGGGTTTAAAGAAATGAGTTAAGACTACATTTTTAAGGCAGGTAACCTTCTATCTTGCACATAAGCCCCAGTTAAGAGGAAGCTGAAACCACAGTATAGAAGTAGAAGTCAGAACACAGAATGAACTCTTGGCAACTAAGTAGAATAGGAGTCTAAGGGAAGAATGAAAGTTCTGGCAGCATCACAATTTATACATCAAATCCCTCAATCCTAGCTGTTTTGGCATTTCAAATTTAATTTACCTCTTTCTGGGTTTAGACACATGAGGAGACCCGTAGATGAAAAATGCAAAAAGAGCAGTTTAGGTCTGAAACATACACAATTGTACCAGATTCTTCCTGAGAAACATTGAAGTTGCCAGGGGTGCCCCTCACAGTTTCCTCTCATCAGGCCAGTGTAACGTAATTGTTAAATCTCAAGGTCTTCACAATGAATTCCCAGCAACCCGGGATATTTTGAAGAAAGTCACAAAGTCTCATTAAAATAAAACTAGAGTTGAACTCAGACAGTAAAGAGAAGATCATAGAAAGAAGACAGGAAAATATCTTTAGAAGCTGCTTTCTAATTCTGAATGGGCAGAAAATTGCCTTTTACTCTAATTTGAAGTAACAGAGCTATTTTCTCATTTCACAATATTATGTAAGAGATCAGGTAAAAGGAATCAAACTATTTCCAAGTACAACCACTTATTAACAGAGACTGACGATGGCTCTTGTATCCCCTGAAATTGCATGTGCCTTGAGAAAGAAGACCAACTCAACACACACAAAAATACTTATTTGACATTAGAAACCTTTTACCGAGACAAGGCAAACAGCGGGTTAAAAATATTACAGGGTGAAGGAAAGCTGTTTTCTTTTCCTCTATGACAAAATGGGTAAACCAAATGATGAATCAAAGACACTTCAAAATTACTGTCTATACTTAAGGCAATTTAAAAAGCGAGGTCTTAACTTAAAAGCCTACACTTGGCATTCAAAATAATGTTTAAATCTTTTGGATAGACTAAAAGAGCTAAATTGTCTACCCAAAATCTGTACAGCAAGGACCTGTTTTCAGCAGGTAAGCCTATTTACAAGTAAGAACCTCTTACTCTTGTAACATTGTCCTGTTTTGTTTTAGGAGAATATACAACTCCCATACCCTGCAGAGTTAGTCTGTAAGGTCTTCACAACCCCACAGAAGTACGGCCCTATCTCTATTAGAGAACTATGTATACTGCACTATAAACACGTATATACACATCTGCCCCCGCCTCCCCCAAAAGGCTGTGAATGCCTTGAGTAAAGGGTTATGGCTCATTCATTTTTATATCTTTAGTGACAATTAATAGGCACTCAATAATATCTTTTACATGCTAAATGAAAGTGATTTTACAATACTTCCACTTTTCACATTTCACACAATTCAACCATTACACATCTCCAAAATAAAAATACCAAAATGCTGCAAGTTCACTGTGGTTTTCACAATATAGTGCTTCTGGACTTCTTAATGTAAACAAATATTCTTGATTTACTAATTTTCAGAGCAGTGGCTCAAAGTCAGCACTCTCCTTGGAATGGTAAACTTGCTTGGAAGTTACTTCATTCTTTTTCTCTTTTTCAAAAGTGCATCTCGTAGTGCCAACTGGAAGAGAAGAAGGAAATATCTAAACAGACTCTTAGGTACCCCATTATACTAATTTGGTTATGTAAAAGTATAACAAAATGGAATCACCAAGTCAATAAATCCTCCCAAATAACAATCCTAGCACCAAGTTTTATAAAGAAGAGATCTTGAAGAATATAGGGCTAGGAATATACACAGAAATTCTGATTGATTTCAGGTTCTAAATGGCAAGAAAACTGGACAGTAAGGCAAAAGCATTCTTGAGCCCCATAGAACACTTAATTTACTCTAAAATTAAAAATTCTTTAATTTTGAGAGCAATGTTTTATGACCCAAAAGGTTTACTTCAAAAAGCAAGTCTTCTCTATCATACCCAAAAAAGGCATGCTAAAAAGAGAAAGCATGGAGTGGAGGAACATCCTTAGCTAAATGGAGCACGGCCACAAACCTCAACAATGAAGCAAGGTCTACCACTGGAGTGGTTACTAATTCTTCAACTCTAAAATATTATGACTGGTGATTTGATAAACTAAATAGATTTAATCAACTGAACTAATTTAAATTGGCAAAAATAAATGGCATCTTTATTTTCAATTCAACTATGCTGTCACTTCATTCTCTGTATAATGTTGTTGGACACAGGTTAGAACTAGACAGATTTAATAAACAGGTTGCTTTAAATGGTACCTTAATGCAGTTAATTCCTGACTTGGTTCCCACACAGATGGAACACTGCCGTGGAGAGCAGGCCGTTACATTTAGGACTAGCAGGCTCATCCTTGGATAGCAAGTTAGGAACACTGGTTCCAATGTGGGGCTTCACCCCTACCTGATTTCCTGGAGATTCTTCAGATTGCATTTAGATACGCTCTAGTATACTCCCAGTAGAGGAAGATATAAAAATATTCGTTTTGTTTTACTACAATGAATTATAGAAGGAAACAAGCCAGCAGAGTATCAGCAAAGATCAGAAATGGATAAAATGATACCCAAATGCCTAAACCCAAAGACTTTGCAAGACTGCACATAAAGGAAGGTTTGTGCCAACAACCGAAGTGATGTTTGCACAGCTTCCCTGAAACAGAGATATTACCACATGGCTATTGCTTATTCAACTAATCTCGATATTACATTTGACAGATGCAGTGTCAGCATAGCAATGGACCTCAGAGATCATCGTGCTTGCACTCCTTTTTATTTATTATTTTTTTTTAATCTTTTTTATTTTTTTTTTTATAGAGACATGTTTTTTTTATTTATTTTGTTTGTTTGTTTGTTTTGTTTATACATGCACTGGGTACAGTCAGAAGCGCGGGAGGGTGAGAGAATTCACCAGAGCCAGAGCGGGGAGCAGAGCAGGCAGAAGGACCGAAGTACACTGCTGAGGGGAGCAGCGGGCGGCAGGAGAGGTCTGCGCGCCATGTGGGACCCTCCGCAGGTGGCCGGGAAGCAGCCGGGGATCGAACCGGCGCTGCAGAGGCCGCGGGCAGCTTCGCAACCCAGCGCTCAACCGCTGCGCCACCGGGGAGGCCCGCTTGCACTCCTTTTTAGAGGAGAATAAGGACTGAGTGAAACTCAGCCAAATCTGGCAGAGAATTTCTATACCCTGACCAATTTCCACCTTTCTATGCTCTCCAGTAACACTCCCTATTAATCCTAAATACACATAATACAAGGTGTTTAGAAGGTGCAATTCCATCTCAAATATAAAGAACTGTTAGAATGACAACACTATTCTAGTCAACCAAACTTTAAGTTGAACTCACCTGCTTTTCTCGGAAGGAACGTTTATTTTTTGACCGGATGTTATGGCTGTACCTCATCATCATAAAGTTTTTCTGTTTTTTCTTCTCTTTATTTGTGGAACTGGCATATGGATTCATTTTGGTTTTCTTCCTCACAAATTCTTTTCGATCTGTCTTTCCAGCCTATCAGCACAAAAAGATTAAAATTCTTCATACATAACACACCTAGTTACCTAAGCAACATGCATTTCTCCTCCGTGCCAGATGCACTACTGGGCTGAAAGGCCACAAGACAAACGGAACAGTCCTTGCTCCCACAACTCAGTCTAAAGGAGAGCTAGCCATGGTGAATTGCCAATGGGGCAAAGGGAACTCACAGAAGAAAAGGACTATAATTTATAATTTAGTCTGGTGAAGTCAGAGGAACTAAAGAAGGGACCCATGCACAACCTATTTTTTTAATAGAATGCTGACATCATGGGTGAAAGGAAGAGGAGAAATATGGCATTTCAGAAAGTAGGGATATATGCAAAGATGTGGAGGAGAAAGAACATTTTTTTATTTAATTTAATTTTTTTTAAAGATTTATTTATTTATACAAGCACTGGGGTACAGGCCAGAGGCGTGGGAGGGTGAGAGGATTCACCAGAGACAGAGCAGGGAACAGAACAGGCAGATTGACAGAAATACACTGCTGAGGGGAGCAGCAGGCAAGACAGGAGAGGTCTGCTGCGCCATGTGGGAATCTCCCTGTCTGGCCGACAGCTTCACAGCACTGCACTCAACCCACTGCGCCACGGGGTCAACCCTAGAAAGAACATTTTTTAATTGCTCTGAACAGGTTTCAGTATAAATGGAATGCAGATATGGAGCCGTTATGGGATGGTGCCTACAATTAAAGGCACAGAAAATGAAGCTGGAAATCACAAATAGCCACAGCACTTACTAGAGGCAGACTCCAACTGTCTCTGGCTTTTCATTAATGATTTTGAACATTCCCCTGCTTTTCTAGTAGCTTTGATACATGTCATTGAAATGGATGTTAAATTGCTATCTGGCTGGAAAAACTGATCTGAGCATTTCCTATCTGTGCATTTTATTCCATGTTAATTTTAACTTTACTTAAAAAAGCTAAAATATTACATTGCTATAAATAATAGCAGTGTATAAACTTGTGTATAAATAATACACACAAGTTCTAGGTCTTGTTTATTTTATTTGCTTTCTATTTAAAAGAACCAGAGAACAATTAAGCCTCACTCACCATTGCCGTTGCTAGTCTTGTCTCCTTGTCAGACTTTGGCTTTTTATGAAGGCGTTCAATGTCCCGAAGAGAAAGTAACTCGCCCCTGGGGTGGAGGAAAAAATACAACATGGAACAGGATAGAATTCCTTTCCCTAATACTTTCATTACCACGTGAGCTGCAAGAGCTGAAAGACCTGGTGCAGGTGCCACTTTACCTGCGCTCCTCATCACTGTCAATTTCAATATATTTCCTCTTTTGGGCTTTCCCAGGGGCAGCATCAAGTTCTTTCCTCATTTGGGCCATGCGGATTTTCTGAAAGTCTTCCTGAGTTAAAACTCGGCTAGTGCTGACAACTGCAGCTTTGGCTTTCCGCTCCTCCATGGGCATGCTGTTCAGCTTCTCAGACTTGAAGGCACACATACAACAGAGGCTTACATGGTTAGTAGTTCAAGTAAAAGCTTAGTCCCCCAACAAGGCCCAGCATAAATTAAGATTAATAAACATCAGAATGATGTACTTCAAAGGGGAAAGTTTTAGGACTTACGATTTCTTGCTGTTCTTCGTCAGAAGAGTGGTTCACATCAACCCACTCACCATCACTATCTCCCTCCTCGCTGAGACTGGTGCTTTCCCACCCATCTGTGAAAAAAGAGCACACTGTTGGTTCTATCACTTTACATTGGTAGTCACAGAAATGTTGAGATAAGTCAAGTAAGAGGAAAGCAATGAAACTCAAAACAGAGACACCACTGACGAAGCATTGGTCAATATTTACTGTTAAATAAGCCATCCTTTCAAATTAAGGAGTGGGGATAATAAAATAAGCACTGACGAGCATCCACCCTGAGCCAAGACCTTACAATCACCTTCTCTAACCCTCACAACTCAACAGAAGAGGAACAGGCTCTAAGAGTTTGGTTCTGCCCATCGCACTGAAAAGCAGCTTACAATGAAATCATGAAAATTATGTCTGACTGCAGAGTTCATGTTCTTTCTACCAAAGCAATTGTGTCCATCAAAACTGCACCTGTATATTCACCTAGACTGCACAGCAAGTATCTAACTTGTCCAAGATTACTTATTATAGATATTTTTAGAAACTGGTTAAAAATAATCATTCAGGGAAGTGAGGCAAAAGATTTTGTCTGAAAGAAATTTCACATACCTTAATAAAGAGGCACTGGAGTCTTTAATGGAGCCATTACACTAAGTTTTCAAAACCACAAATACTTGTACCTTTAGCGGTGCCACGTTCTATTACACCATGTCCCAGGTCTTGAGTATGGAAGATGCACAACCACTTATGATAACCAACTCTACCCCTAGTCTGATATTTTGCTATGTTCTACCTAGTGCCTTATACTATAATCAATTCCTGCATCCCTTAGGACCTCACTTAGTTTGCCTGGAAAGTCTACACTATTCTACTATTTCTTGTTTATCGTTCAAGATATAGCTCTGGCGTCTCCCTGAGGCTTTTTCAGGTCTTTGAAGTGGAAGTGAACTTTTTTATGCCCCGCTCTAGTAATAAAACAGCTGTTTACTGCTCAACTGTTAATGAAAAGTCCCCAGGAGCAGAAACTCTATCATTCATGTTTGTGTTGACAGTAACTGGCTCATAGCTGATGCTTAGGAAACCTTTGCTGAAACAATGAATAAAGGAACAGCAGGAAGAAGACAGGACTCTAGCAACAAATGTAACAAAGGTGAAACCTGCATATCAGGATGGAGTTCCTCAAGCAGCCTTCAACAAGTTTATCAAAGGATTTTCCTACAACAAAGAGAGTTTTGGACAATGCTAAGGACTAATCCTCATCATTATTCCTAGACAACAAACAAAGTCACTATCTTTCTTAAGTGCCTAGTGTGTACTTGATTAAGGGGCAGTCACCCTCAAGGACATGAAAAGACATCTCCTACACTAGGATGGAAGTTCTTTAAAAATAGGAACTAGTACATTTGAATCCGATACCTATTACAATGCTTGCCATGTAGTCAGTGCTCAATAAATACCTGCTGAATGAATGTTCAAATAGCATAAAAACTTCAAGGTCAATACAGATAGAGGAGTGATTCTTCCTAAATAATGGTGAAATAAAATGAACCTTCATCATTTTCAGCATTCTTTTCTTCTTTTTCAACTTCCAAAATTTCTGCTCCCGGAATATAATCTTTTGCATCTAATTCCCCATATTCTTGCACTCTTGCTTCTATGGAGGCCTCTGTAGGTTTACCCTAAAGGAAAGAAAATTGTTTTTAATAAGGTGCTTAGATTTTAAAACATCATACACATAAAGAATTCTCTAGGATTATGAATTCAGAAGGAAGAACTACAGGGGCTCCCTGGTGGCCAAGGGGTTAAGTCTCAGTGCTGTTACCACTATAGCCTGAGTTGGATACCTGGCCAGGGAGCTAACTCACATGGCACAGCAGACCTCTCCTGTATCATCTGCTTAGCAGTGTATTTCAGTAATCTGCCTGTTCTGCTCTTCACTCTGTCTCCAGTGAATCCTCTCAACTCACCCCCTCCCCCACCCCCAAAACCTCTGGCCTACACCCCAGTTCTACGCAAAAATAAAAATAAAGAAAGAACTACAAAAATGGAATTAAATGATGAAAATGTATTCCTTGGGTCAGCCAGCCCTCTGTCCACTGTCTTTTCTGCTCCAGATCAGGAAAAACACAGTTATTAGGATGAACTGCTCCAATTCTTTAAATCTCAAGATCACCATCTCTTTCTATTACATACAGGCACACTTTGGAGATATTGCACGTTTAGTTCCAGACCACCAAAATGAAGCAAATACTCTAACAAAGTCAGTCACAATTTTTTTTTGCTTTCCCAAGGTACATAAATGTTTATACCATATTATAGTTTATTAAAGTGCGCAACAGCCTTGTCTTAAAAAAGGTACATAACTTAATTAAAAAATAATTTATTGCTAAAAAATGTTATGTTAGCCTTCAGTGAGTCATAATCCTCTTGCTGGTGTGGGGATAGGGAATCTTGTAAAAACTTCATTATCTGTGAATTAAGTGAATTAAGCAAAATTAAGTGATAGGACCTAATCTTGTACACACACTTCTCTTCCTTCATAAAACCAGAGTGATACCTGGCTGGGAAATAGCCTGTTCAATATTGGCATGAGCTACTGAATGATCTCTGAGGTTCCAATTTGTTAATAATGCCAAAAACTTTTAAGAGCAAACAGCCTGATAGATTTATAAGACTCAGTCATCACCAAAGAGTATATGCTAACTATAAAATATTTAAAGCAATGGTATTCAATCAACATATTTTGAGTTTAAAGAATAAAACTATGCTTATCAACAATACTTGTCATGGAAGCAGTACTAATACTAAAACTCAAACTGTAGGAATTACCCTCACTTTCAGAGACTTTTAGATCAACATCTGCATGCTTCACCTACCCGGAACTTCTTTTGTAGCATCTGAGGATTCAGTGTTCGGAAGAGCTGAATCAAAGTTCTAGCAGACATCATCACATCTGTAAGATAATACCTTTAAAAAGCAGCTCTGGAGCAATGAGTCTACTGAAATAAAAGATGGGCGACTTCACATTCTTTGGTCTACAGTAAATAACACATAACTTACTCTTATCTTTGTGTGTTTTATACTGAACCAGGTCTTGGAGAAGTTCTTCAGTCATGGCTAAAGGACATCTAGCTGTTATCTCTTTTATAGCATTGATTCTAGAAAAGGAAAAATGAGTTTAAAAAAAACCCAAACAGTTCACCCTAACACAGTTTCCTAAAAAGACTAAATCAAAGGGAATATAAATTGGGTTTTCTAAAGCTTGGGTTTCAAAAACTGCAGTATGGCAGAAAATGTGAGGCTAGGTAGTCATAGAGGGCTTTTATCCCAGTCTACGCCATTACCTCTACTGGTAGAATAAGGAAGTGTCCTCTCTGTGAACTAACTCTCAAGGGAGAAGGGACTAGGGTGAAAAAGTAAAGCTGAAGGCTGCTAGGGCTGTTATGCCAGCAATATTCTCCAAGGGAGAAAAGTAGCTGCTCAGCACATCCCTCAGTTGTCTGTACATTAGAAAATCCTTAAACCACTGTTCACAGTCATTAAGTGGTTTTGAATTACTCAATAGGGCTACCAAACTGTCTTGGGATTCAAGAATGTTCAATAACAAATCACTATTCCACAGGAAGGTATGAATTCAGTGTATGAGATAAGAGGAAAAAAAATAGATTGTCACATAATCATTCCTTTGAAAAATAAAATGTTGACTAGAAGGACAATTCTGGCCTATAAAATAAAAAAACAACCCTCTTGAGAAGACAAGTATATTTTAAACTGCTTTTTTAGAGGCCACATTGCCAGCTGAAACCTTCCATCTTGGAATGTACAGCAAACCCAGTACATTAACAGCATTGCCACCTCCTACATACCCAACTGTCATGACTTCTCCAGAGTTCTTGTCCGTAACAAAATTGTTGGCCACTGTCATAAGCAATGACTGAATGATCTAAATGGGGAATAAAAGAAATGAGTGCTAGTAAAATGAACCTATTCACAATCTTGAGGATGAAGAGACAATAGTTATTCACAATGGGGAAACAGCCCCCTTCATCTTGGGTTTGGGAGTTAGAAGTGATTAAGACTAAGCAATCAAGACAGAGATAAAACTACTACTTTGAGGTTCAATCTTCCTGGCTAAACCCACATAAAATTTTGCTCTCAATGTTATTTTTTCATGTGGACTTAAAAAATTGCTTTGACCCAGATAATACAATACTGTTTTTATCAGAGAAAGGAATTATCAACTTTAAATTTACTGATGCTTTTTCTTTTTTATTAAAAAGATTTGTATTTATTTATACAAGAACCAGGGCATAGGCCAGATGTGCAGGTGGGTGAGAGGATCACCAGAGACAAAGCGGGGAACAGAACAGGCAGACTGATGAAATACACTGCTGAGGGGAGCAGCAGGAGCGGCAGGAGAGGTCTGCGTGCCATGTGGGACCCTCGCCAGCTGGCCAGGGATTGAACCAGCAGTGCAGAGGTTTCAGATAGCCTCACAGTGCTGCGCTCAACCGCCTGCACCACCAGGGGAGGCCCTACTGATGCTTTTTTAAAAATTACCTGGTATTCTTGACCTCTCCTCATAAAATGTGGCAATTAAACAAAATTAAAAACCTACAACTGAACTGTGTAACTTCTGGTTTTCTGTGTAAGTTCTTTAGAATTAGTGTCTTTACTACTCACTTAAGTAAGGGGGAGACAGTAATTCCTCTGGGAAAAACCACCATGATATACCTAATAGTGGCCCTGCAATGCACAGACTAGATTCAGACACAAGTTTTAAGAGTTCTTACCTCTGGAGGCACTAAGTGATGAGACGCTTGTGCAGCAAACAGAAGGATCTTTGTTACTTCTAAAGACAGAAAAGATCAGAAAGGTCAGGTTATTGCTCTACTTCTCAGAACTATGACAAATATGGTAAACACATTCCGGCTTTAATCCCAATGCTGCTTACTCCCCCTGGAATAAGGATCTTCTGGAGTGAAGGGAGAGAAGATACACCTCAGGTCCCTGCTCAATTGCTACATTATCAAAATGCCTTTCCTGACCACCCAATATAAAATAGAATCCAGCATTCCTTATTACCTTTAATCTGTTTCCTTTTTTATCAAAACACTTACTTCTATCTGAACAAATTGTATGTATACAACCCTGTCTAGCTCCCTCAAGAATATAAGTTCTATGATGGCAAGGATTTAACTGTGGAATTTTTATGTCTAACAGTGTCCAGCATAGAAATCATGAAGTAAATTGACAAATACAAGCATCACACTCTCCCTTTGAAGGGGCAGGATGTATAAAAGGCAAAAGTGAAGTGAATTCTAATTTGTTATTGATTGCTGAGTGAGCTCAGTCCTTTTTCTTTTTCTACACCTTACAAGATTAAAGTGAGGATTAGATGAGATAATAAATGTACGTACCGCACTTATTAATTAGCACAGTGCTTGGTTTACGTAAGATAGTCACTAAATGTTCACACCTTTTCCATCTTGGTTCAAGTTCAAAGGGAGATATAATCACTTCTTTACAGCTTTTATGTTGTTTTTAATTGAAAATACACCAAGGCAAAAGAACAGAAAAATAAAATCCTGATTCTATTACAAAATGTTCTCATAAATTTCTACAAGTATTTATGGTATTACAAAATGACTTGCATTGAGAAACTAATATTTTGGTCCTCCCCACCTCCCTCCAAATAAATGTTTCTTAAATTTGATGAGCAGAAAAATTTACCCAAGATAAATTTCAAGACGAGAACAAAAGGGCTTTTTTCCCTTTCTCATATATACAACACACTTAACTCCTAACTGTCTTTAGTAATTTCAGAACAAAACACTATGAGACACAGCATGGGGGGGCTTACCTCTTTGGTGGGGCTGCAGAAACCTTTGTACAAAGGGATAGAAGTTGAAGAGAAAAAGCTGTGGACAGAATGCACTGGCTTTAATATTAATATAACTGAAAGAGTAGAGCTTTATTTTTTTCATAATGCAATCATAGCACCAAATTCAACTATCTGGGAATCATTTTGTACTTTTGCCTTTTTCTAGGAAGTATTTATACCTCAGCATGATTCCATGTGCTGTATGAAGCCAGGAAAGGAGGGCTATGCTGCTTCCTCATGTCAAAGAGGGAGAAAATGTATGCAGAATAAACCAAGGGTTAAAAAGGCAATCCAAATGTCACATTCTCCCTCTTTAAAAGTTGGTATGGCCACAGAACTCATTTTTTTAGCCAGAGAGAAAGAGGTTTACAGGAAGACATAGCATTGATACTAAGATTCCAAAATAAGGAACAAAATAGCAATTCAATTAGATAGCCCCTCATATAATCTAATCACCAAAGACACTTTTGGTTTTATTATAGGACACATCACTCCAAACACAGTGGAGAAAGTACTGAGCTCCATGTTTGAGAGAGAACACACTAACACTCTGGCATCTACCTCGAGAATGGCAATATTACTGATTATTAAAGCAATAGTAATCTTTAACTTCAAGAAGAGAAACTTTGGAGATGGACTGGTTTTTCCATAGTTTATCAGTAACAATGAATTTTTTTCTATTTTAGCCACAAAGTAAAACAAGGACCAGAGAAGACTGTTCAGTAAAGATGGACCTAGTCCATCTTCTGTAGTCAAAACTGTGTTACCAGTTGCGACAAGTTGTGAACTCCAGTACATTTTCATCAAAGCATGCTTAATTAAATCACAAATCACTTTTACTTTCCTTTCAGTTCAAATCCAGCCTGACAATTACTGCTCAAATGTAACAAGAACTTATCTATCTAATAACTGCAGTCCATGGAAAAAATACAAAATATTCATTAGAATGTTAAGTTTTTCTAAAAAAAGAAACTTTCATTTTTGACTTGATATTTGATTTTCAGTAAAAAAAAGTCTGTTTTACTGTTTTGTTTTGTTTCCCCCCAATTTGAAAGTCATTTTATTTTTTTTTCAGCAACTATTTTATTTTATTTTTTAAAAAATATTGTATTTTAGGTCGGCGCCCCGGCGCCAGCTCCTGTTTGTGTCGGCAGCTCAGCTGGCGCAGCGGCCCGAGCGGACGCGAAGAGGAGAGTCGCCGCCGCAGCCCGCATCCTGTAATGCCAGAAGTCTTTGTGGGAAGCAGAGAAGCAAGCAACTGCATTTCTTTTGCTCACCTAAACATTACTGGAGGATAAGCCACATCAGTCTTCAAAGAGGTTTTTATTCAAGCAAAATAAGATGTAAATGGACAAAAAGTGAAGCACATTCTTGCAGTAAACACTGTTACTCTCTCAGCAACCATGCTTTACATATTGGAATTTTGAAACTTAGTACTTCTGCTCCCAAGGGACTTACAAAAGTGAGCCTTCGTATGTCCCGTATTAAAAGTACTTTGAACTCTGTTTCAAAGGCTGTTTTTGGTAATGAGAATGAAATGATCTCACGTTTAGCTCAATTTAAGCCAAATTCTCGAATACTAAGAAAAGTATCAGATAGTGGCTGGTTAAAACAGAAAAGCATTAAGCAAGCTGCCGAAACGCTTAAAAAATACAGTGACAAATCAGCAGAGAAGAATTCTTTTCCAGAAAAGAAAAGTAGCATAGATAAAGACAAAAGTAAAAAAAGCCTTTATCATTATACAAGTAGTATAACCACAAAATTTGAAGAATCATTCTATTTTTTATCAAATCATATTAATTCATACTTCAAACGTAAACAGAAGATGTCTGAGAAGAAAGAAGATAAACCTTTTCAGGACAAATTAGAAGTTGAAGATAAAAGCATTGAAGTGAAATCCAGTTCTCCAGATCCTGGTGTCCAGATTGATAAGAAGCTAGACTCAGAATCTTCTTTACCTACTGAGGACAAACCTGCAAGTCCTAGCAAGGCACCTGAGGTTCTTCCAGTTTCTACTAAACAAAGTATTGCAAATTTTCTTTCTTACCCCACTGAGGGTGTACAAGCTTTAGTAGGTGGTTATATTGGTGGACTGGTACCCAAATTAAAGTCTGATTCAAAGAGTCAGCCAGAAGAACCGGTAGAGGCTGCTAAAGCTGAGCAGCCTGTCAGCAAAGACAAAAATGCAGAGGAGAGAAACCGTTTATCTCTTCAGCGAGAAAAGATTATTGCAAGAGTGAGTATTGATAACAGAACTCGGGCATTAGTCCAGGCATTAAGAAGAACAACTGACCCAAAGCTCTGCATTAACAGGGTTGAAGAACTTACTTTGCATCTTTTAGAATTTCCTGAGGGAAAAGGAGTGGCAGTCAAGGAAAAAATTATTCCGTATTTATTACGATTGAGACAAGTTAGGGATGACACGCTTCAGGCTTCGGTTAGAGAAATTTTGGCCTTAATTGGCTATGTGGATCCAGTGAAAGGAAGAGGAATACGAATTCTTTCAATTGATGGTGGAGGAACAAGGGGTGTGGTTGCTCTCCAGACGCTACGAAAATTAGTTGAACTTACTCACAAGCCAGTGCATCAGCTCTTTGATTACATTTGTGGTGTAAGCTCAGGTGCCATATTAGCATTCATGTTGGGATTGTTTCATATGTCCTTGGATCAGTGTGAGGAACTTTATCGAAAAATAGGATCAGATGTCTTTACACAAAATATCATTGTTGGAACAGTCAAAATGAGTTGGAGCCATGCATTTTATGATAGTCACACATGGGAGAATATTCTAAAGGATAGAATGGGATCCTCACTAATGATTGAAACAGCACGAAATCCCACATGCCCTAAGGTAGCTGCTGTAAGTACTGTAGTAAACAGAGGGATAACACCTAAAGCTTTTGTGTTCAGAAACTATGGTCATTTTCCTGGAATCAGTTCTCACTATTCGGGAAGCTGTCAGTATAAAATGTGGCAGGCCATTCGAGCTTCATCTGCTGCTCCAGGCTATTTTGCAGAGTATGCATTGGGAAATGATCTTCATCAAGATGGAGGTCTGCTTCTGAATAACCCCTCAGCGTTAGCAATGCATGAATGTAAATGTCTCTGGCCAGAGGTCCCATTATAGTGCATCGTGTCCCTGGGTACTGGGCGCTATGAGAGTGATGTGAGGAACAACGTGACCTACACCAGCTTGAAAACGAAGCTTTCGAATGTCATCAACAGTGCTACAGACACAGAAGAAGTCCATGTAATGCTTGATAGCCTGTTACCGCCTGACACCTATTTTAGATTCAATCCTGTAATGTGTGAAAACATACCTCTCGATGAAAATCGAAACGAAAAGTTGGATCAGCTGCAGGTGGAAGGTATGAAGTACATAGAAAGAAATGAAGAAAAAATGGCAAAGCTTGCAAAAATCCTAAGTCAAGAAAAAACAACTCTGCAAAAATTTAATGATTGGATAAAACTGAAAACAGACATGTATGAAGGTCTTCCATTCTTTTCAAAATTGTGATGAGTGCATATAATATTGTCATAAATGAAGTACTGTTTATAAAAACCACCAAATTAAATAACGAATTGTGGGGTTCCGCATGATTAATTGTGAAATACTTGGGAATTCTGGAAAAGACAGTGCTTGGATCAGCTTGCACATCACAAAAAAAGGTATCCTGGATTATAAAATTCTTACAGGAATTGGATTTTTATGACTAGGCTTTAGGAATTTTATTGTGCTAGTTGTTTTTAGTAGATATTGGTGTTATATTGTTTGATGTTTGAAAATTTGCTAATATATGTGCCAAACAAGACCTGAAAACTATCATATTATGCTTTGTATTTTTGCTTTATTCGCCATAATCATGTTGAAATTATTTGCTCATTGATTATCTTATGAAAATCCACCAGTGGAAAAGCTAATTTATTTTCAAATTTACATTGTTTATTTTTTTCACTAACTACACACAAATGTTACCTTTTACTGCAATATCTAAACGTATACAGAAAAGTGGAATTTTCTCTATCAGAGAACTTTTACATTTAAAATATGAAAGAACCAGATACAGTTTTCTATTCAAAATTTGCTTATTTCAGCATTGTTTGATTGAAAAGACTAGGTGAATTACCAACCACATTTTCCTCCTGAAATTTCAAAATAATGTTGTATGTTAACTTTTCTAGCTCTAGCTTATCATTCACTGTTATAAAATTATTTGAATTTACTGTGAAAATACCCTATCATTAACAAAAATAAACTATTGAAATAATAATAAAAAAAAATATTGTATTTTATATAATTCTTACATCATTTTTCATCTTTGCACAATGTATGCATTTTCATTATGGTTATATTCCCCATACAATTGTACCCCACCCCCCCTTATTTTGACTCTAGTCCTTCCTCTCCCTACCAGTGTGTCTCTGGTTTACAGTTGCTTGTTGATTTTGATTTTTACTTTGTATTGATTAGCCTTTGAAAGACATTTTAAAGGAAGCAACACAGCCAATGCTGTTCAGAGCAGTACCAGTCACAAGAGTAAATAACAGGGAACAACCTTAATGATCATTTCTTTATGGCTAAAATATTTGGGAATCTCTCCTTTTCTGCAATGGCAATTAGTCTAAGTATGTGTGTTTCCATATTTATAGCAATACATATGCACTGAGGAGCTCTTGAAATCTAATTTAACATAAACAAATGAATAGAAAATTCAGACAATTTCCTAGTAGAGTGGTGTGAAAGTCAGGAAGGCAATGAAAGGTTAAGTAAACAGCAAAATGTACTAACAATTGATATATTATAGGGGTTCTACTGGCTCAAAAAGATATATATGTGAAACATAGTTGAATAAAAAGAAAAAGGAGGTAAACAGAACACAAGTCTTTCCATAAACTGAGTATGTGTCTAATTTAACATACTATTAGGAAAACAAAGTAATAAAAACAGCTATGTTCAGAAATTATATGGGTTTAAATGTTATGGAGGCATAAAACTAAGCCATAGTCTACCTTAGAGACTTTCCTTTTATACAGAATAATTCTACTTCTAAGGAAAACATAATGTATCTCATACCTCATGAATTCCCACCAATCTTGAGATGAGGTTCATGAGCATCATCTTCACTTCAAACCTCTCCTTAGAGCTCTCTAGCTGCTTTAGTAGTTTTTCTGCAAAATCTGGAAGGGAGATTATCAGAGTGTGTCTGCACACCACTGGCTAACAGGTACAGGAAAAGACAGTTGTTAGATCCTTGACTCTGGGAGAGCTGTGCCTAACGTCTGTCTGCAGAACTGGGCTGGTAAAACAGGAGATAGAAGACACACAGGAGAATACATCTTCCATGGTGCCCAGAGTTAAGTCTCAAGGAGCCCCATGATTTTTAGCATCAACCTCTAGAGTCACTGATAGTAGTATTTAATAGTTTCTAGAGCCATGCTTCTCAGGCATGCTCCATAGATAGTCAACAGCTGGTCCACCTGGAAGCTTGTTAGAAATGCAGAATTTGAGTCCCCCTCGCACCCCACATCAACTAGATCTGAGTCTCTGAGGTCAGTTTCAGGATACCCTAGGTGATTCAAATGTGTGGTCTAGATTGAAATCTTACGATCCAAAATATGGTTTCCCAAACTTCTCGACAATTTAATTAATAGTGGGGAAAGGGGCCAAACAAAAGACTATCACTTTTTTCATTTGGTCAGGTGCTGTGCTGTTAAAGACATAAATTGCAGAGAAAGCTGTATTTGCACATTTTTCTTATTTTACATGGACTGGGCACAAGTGCTTTAGAACCTAATTCCCCAGACCAAAACCAATTAGTAACAACTAAGCATTTACTGATTATCTGTTAAATGGCTGGGATCTTGTATTTCTTGGTAACCCTTAAGTTAGCAAGCCAAATAGACGAACAAGGAAACTTGGCAAGTCATAATTATAGTACCTTGAGGATCATGAATCAAGTGGATAGCTGAAAAGTTAAACACCTCCGGTTTTTTCTTCTTCTTTTGTTTCTGAAGAAAGGAAAAACACATTTCCATTTTGAGTACCAGTGACGAGGTCCTTGGGATTAAATGCACTAATGCGCTAAAGTCCACCCCACTCTGTTTAATAAAGGAAAAAAATCTTTCTTTAAAAAACCTATAAGAAGTAAATATAAGGTTATCTTTTTTTTTTTAAGATTTATTTATTTATGCATACAAGAGTTGGGTTTATCTTTTAACATTAAACCTTGAGACTGTTTCAGCTGTCAGCACCTGTGAGACTTAAAGGAACCTGGAAATATAAACATTAAAAAAGATGTAAAGGTCAAATTAGTGATCTATAGCAAAGTCATTAGAAAATATAAAATGTATTTCACTTATGTATTGTTTTGAGAAGACATATCTAGCAAAGAAAGATACTCTAATATAGCTAGCCATCTTGATCAGAACAAATGGAGTGAATTTAATCAAATTATGTCAGATTTTGCTAAATCCAAAAAAGATACTTATTTAAAAAACAAGTACTTCAGCAGAAATAATTCTTAAGACTCTGTAAAAGGAGATATTGGGTATGAGATGGGATGGAGGAAAAGGGAGGGAGAGAAGATGATAGGGCACTGGCACTGCAGCTTTGGTATAAGGTGAGTAAAGTATGTGCCCATATGGAGGTGTGAAGATGTACTTCCAAAATCACAGTTATTAAATGACTGGCAAATCAATGAAATTTGAGGGGAAAAAATATTGCTTAAAAATCTACCACATATTTCTAAGACTTTCAAAAATACTATTTCTTTATTATTTCAAAATTCTTAAAAACTTTTGCAAAAATAACATATTTTATATCAAATGATTCCATCTCATTTTCCAGATACAAGTCTCACCTTGAGGACTTTCATAGCCTTTTCCATCTTTTTCTTGTTTTTGGAGCTTTTTTTCCCTGTGGCATACTGAACTAGCAGGTCTCTTGCTGTTGGTCCTTCATCCTAAAGAAGAAACTACATTGTAAAACTGTAAACAAGAATAATCTGCATAGAAGCCAAGAGCAATCCTTTCAACCACTTCTCTGTATTTATACTCCTGGCATATAGCTATTAAAGATGAGTGGGATTTTAAGCAGATCTTTTACAATTCAACAAAAAGTATTTGCCCACATGCAAAACAGGCACATACACAGATTCTCATTTCTGGATTTTGTTCCCTTTTAATTGGATTATAATATGCAAACAGCATATAATTGTTTTTATTTTAAAAAATAAGGAAACATTTATCAGTGGGATAATGCTTAAACTATAATATAGTCACATTCTTAAATACTATATAAAGGTTAAAAGGATGAGGTAGATATATATGCATTAATAAGATCTAAATACATTGCTACAACTACATTTAACAGAAAGAAAGCAGGATGCATATATTATCTGTATAGTTTCTAAAAACCGACTACATATGTAAGACAATATGTACACATTCACATATAAACGCATAGGGAACAAAATGTTTAAATCTGAAGAAGTGGGAAGTAGGAATCACTCAGGGAGAATAATGAAAACTCATCTTATTTTTATTGTATCTGAAATTTCTTATACAAGAATATTTTGTTCATATATTATTTACTAAAATAATGACAAAACAAATTAAAAGATATTATTATATATTCCACTATTATTGTCACCAAAATGATAAAGGGAATTAAAAAAAAGTCCCCTTTTTGATAATACAAAATATTTTTATAATTATATGACATCATAAATGCCATATGACTCATCTCTGTCCCCAGTCTAAGCTTCTATGATGCTGACATGCTACCTCAAAAAGAGAGTGGCAACAATTCTCATTCTAAGTTTAAATAGTGACATATAGGTATAATAATAGCTTTAAAACCAAAATGAAGGCAGAATGAATCTAAGTTTTATTAGTTATCTGTCCAATCACACTGGATAGGTGACAAATTCTAAATAAAGTTCCAGTATGGCAAACTCACTACAGGATAAAGGTGACATACAGTTTCTTTCTAAGTTGAGCATTGATGGATTTTGCAGTTGTACAGAGAGCAATAAAGAAATCTGATAAACTGAAAAATTCAGAAGCGATTAATGTTAAAGTAACCTCAGATTCTGAGTCACTGTCCTGTTTCTCCTCTTCATCTCGACCAAGGAAGAATGTCAAAGCAGCAACTAATATCTAAAAACCAATTAGAACAAAATCAGTTAAAATTAAACCCAATTTACAATGGAGAATAAAAACTTTTGTCTATACATACAAACTAAGATCTGAAGAAAAAATGAGAGGTGGGACCTGGACTAATTTTTCTTAATTAGAGTATAATATTTTGTGTTATTTATAAGTACATATCTTTAACTAGATAAAAACAGCCAGGCTCTACATAGATGTTATCCGTAAGAAAACTGTCAAGAATTTCCACACCTCTCACAAGGAAAGTGACATTACAACCCTTCTCACTGGAAGTCAAATATAGTCCTGAAATTTCTTTCAGTTGTGCCAGAGTCCAAGAAAAGAATAAGAATTACAGGGGAAAACAAAATAAGGGTGAAAGTTACTGTTTAAAGCTCAGCATTTTAAAAAGTCAAGAGAAACTATAAGAATGGAAACTAGAATTCTGGGTATACAGACACTGAATTCTAATGTATCTAAAACTGGTATTACACTATAAACCAATGTTGTATCAATAAAATATTAAAATCTATCAATCATAAGACTTTCTTCATTTTCAGTTTTGAAAAAAGAAATCATGGTAATTTTGACTCCTCTAAAGCAGAAATGAACCAGGGAAGCACCTAAGCACAAAGAAACCATTACTAAACATTAACTGCAAATACACACATTACTTTTTCCTCACTTATCATCGCCTTCACCTTCTACCCAGTGAACGAATAATGCCTTCACACAGCCTTACAGATACTCACCTTGGTGATCTTAGAGAAACATGCAGTTGTGATCACATTGACAGTTTTGGCATCATTCCTGGGGAGAGACAATGAGTATTTTATTTATTTATTTATTTTTTATAGAGGTATGTTTTATTTATTTGTTTGTTTGTTTGTTTGTTTTTTGTTTATACATGCACTGCATACAGTCAGAAGCACGGGAGGGTGAGAGAATTCACCAGAGCCAGAGCTGGGAGCAGAGCAGGCAGAAGGACCGAAGTACACTGCTGAGGGGAGCAGCGGGCGGCAGGAAAGGTCTGCGCGCCATGTGGGACCCTCCTCTGGTGGCTGGGGAGCAACCAGGGATCAAACCAGCGCGCAGACGCCGCAGGCAGCTTCGCAACCCAGCGCTCAACCGCTGCGCCACCGGGGAGGTCCAAGACAATGAGTATTTTAAAGTAATTTTTTTTCTAGTATATTTCATAGCATAGATAATGGCCAAAATAATATTTGACAAGTTAAAGTTCACAGTTGTAATATTTTTAAGTCATGGGTTCCTACATAGTCAATCACAGGTAAACATTTAATTAAAGTTTAGCCCAGTGTAACATTAGAAAATTACATGGTCATTAAGATGGGCTTTTGGACGAATTTTTAATGGCATAAGAACATACTCAAGATAAAGTGAAGCATATAACATAAAAAAAAACAAAAAACCATAATGTAGTAAAACTGCCATCCTATTTAAAAATTTACGTTAAAGACACGCAAAAGTCAGTAGCCTTCCTATACACAAACAATAAATCTGAAGAAGAAGAAATCAAAAAGACCATCCCTTTTGTTATTGAAACAAAAAAAATCAAATATTTGGGAATAAATCTAACAAAAGAGGTAAAGGACCTATACAAAGAAAACTATAAAACACTGTTAAAAGAAATAGAAGAAGACACAAAGAAATGGAGAGACATCCCCTGCTCATGGATTGGAAGAATAAACATTATTAAAATGGCCATCCTACCAAAAGCAATATACAGATTCAATGCTATTCCAATCAAAATTTCAATGTCATTCTTCAAAGAAATAGAACAATTATTGATGAAATTCATATGGAATCACCAAAAACCCCGAATAGCCAAAGCTCTCCTGAAAAAAAAAGAAGGGAATGGAGGCATCAGACTCCCAGACTTCAAACTATACTACAAAGCCATAATCATCAAAACTGCATGGTATTGGAACAAGAACAGACATACAGACCAATGGAATCGAATAGAAAATCCAGAAATAAACCCACAGATTTATGGTCAACTAATCTTTGACAAAGGAGCAAAGAATATGCATTGGAGCAAAGAAAGTTTGTTCAATAAATGGTGCTGGGAAAACTGGGTCGCTACATGCAAAAGAATGAAGCTTGACCACCACCTCACACCATACACAAAAATCAACTCAAAATGGATTAAAGAACTAGACATAAGACCTGAAACCATAAAATATATAGAAGGAAATATAGGCGAAACACTACGTGATTTGCACATCAAAGACATCTTTACAGACACATCACCCAAAGCAGTGATAGTGAAGGCAAAGATAAACAGCTGGGACTACATCAAATTAAAGAGCTTTTGCACAGCAAAAGAGACAATAACAAAAACAAAGAGAAACCCCACCAACTGGGAGAACATTTTTGCACCCAACACTAATGATAAAGGACTGATCACAAAAATCTGCAAAGAGCTGATGAGACTCAACAACAACAAAGAAAATAATCCAGTCAAAAAATGGGCAGAAGAGCTTAAAAGAAACTTCTCTGAAGAGGAAATGCAAATGGCCAACAGGCATATGAAAAAATGTTCAACATCACTTGTCATCAGGGAAATGCAAATCAAAACTACCATGAGATACCATCTTACACCAGTGAGAATGGCACATATTAAAAAAACTAGCAACAACAAATGTTGGCGAGGGTGTGGAGAAAAAGGAACTCTTCTGCACTGTTGGTGGGAGTGCAAACTGGTCCAACCACTGTGGAAAACTGTATGGAGATTTCTGGACCTACTAAACATAGAGCTTCCATATGATCCAGCAATTCCACTCCTAGGTATTTACCCAAAGGACACAGAAACATCAATTCCAAAGAACACCTGCACCCCTATGTTTATAGCAGCACTGTTTACAATAGCTAAGCTTTGGAAACAACCCAAATGCCCAAAAATAGATGACTGGATCAAGAAGATGTGGTACATATATACCATGGAATATTACTCAGCATTCAAAAAAGATAAACACATGCAATTTGCAGCAACATGGATGGCGCTGGAAGGGATCATGCTCAGCGAAATAAGCCAAAAAGAAAAAGAAAAATACCGGATGGTCTCACTCATAGCAGGAATCTAGAAAACTTAAATAAGGGACCAGGAAAATGAATAACTATAAGAAAGTGAAAATCAAAATCAACAAAAAACTATGAACCAGAGACACTTTTAGGGGGGCGGGGGTGGGAGGGGAGGGATTGGGGTCAGAATGGGGGGGCTGCAATTGTATGGGGAATATAACAATAAAATTTATTAAAAAAAAAAAATAAAGAGGCATGTATTTTAAAAAAAAAAAAAAATTTACGTTAAAGAAAGGCAACAGGGAATATAATAAAATATTAACAGTGATCATCTCCAAGTATGGTACTATCAATGATTAAAAAGGAGAAACTTTTCTAGCTTCTCCATGAATATTACATCTACAGTTAAAAAAAAAAAGGTACTAAGAAAAACAAAAGACATGAATTAGGATACTGTACCAACAAACTAAAATTTTATGATTCTGAGTCAGATCTGGATTTCAATTTCAATTCTGTCCCTCACTAGCTACAAAACTTAAACTCTATGAACTTCAGTTTCACTACCTATAAAATGGTAATAATCCCAGAAAAGCTGCATTACATGTTCTGAAGTTTGAACAGGTAATGTAAAGTAGGTACTCAAGAATGGTAGTCAATATTGTCACCAGTCATTTGGACTGCCTCTGTATTTTTACTTCTAAGTTAATCTATGACAGAGGAATATTAAAGAGTTGATGAAAAAATATTTGGGTATGTGCTCTATAGTAATTACAAGTGAATAAAAAATTCTATTCTCAAGAGACAAACACACTCACACACACATACACAAATGTATTACCAGATGTTTCTTCTGTAGAGTTCAATCATCACATCCAAAGATATCTTGGCTGCAGTGGCATTGCTATCTCTCAACATGGTGTACATGAAATTCTGCAATACCTGAAGAAAAGGAAAAAGAAAACTTAGTATACTGATGGCACAAAGCTGCAAGCATGGAGAACAAAAGGGTACTTACTATATTCACTTTGTTGTTCTTGTGTTTTGCATTTATATTCTTGATATCAGTCACAATATGTGTGTATAAAGTCTGAGGAAAAGAAAAACATACATTTTAAGTAACATTTCTAAACTTGCTTAAATTAGAAAAAAGTACAAATGTACAGGAGGAGTTAATTTTACCTCTTTTTCATTTTATCACAAAAGAAACCCAAAGCAAACAATAAGTGACTACAGACATAATTGAAGTTGCCCTCAAAAGATTAGTAGTTACCATAGTGCTAACAATTCCACTCCTAGTTATACACCCAAAAGAAATGAAAACATTTCCACACCAATGTTCACACAAATATTCAAAGCAATATTATTCATAATGTCAAAAGGTGGAATTAACCCAAATGTCCATCAACTAATGAATGGATAAACAAAATGTGATACAACCAGTGCAATATTATTTGGCAACAAAAATAATTAAGTACTAATACATTCTGTAATATGGATGATAAATCTTGAAAACATTAAGCTTAGTAAAATAAGTCACAAATAATCATGTATTATACTACTCCATTTATATGAACTGATCACAGTAGACCAGAATTAGACTGGGCTGGTGATTCCCTGGGCTGGCACTGGGATGGAGGTGGAAGGGGTGGAGGGAAGGGATGGGGGATGACAGTTATTGGAAATGGGGTTTCTTCTGAGGGTAAAAAAATGCATTATAATTGATAGTGGTGATAATTGCAGTCTCTGTGCTAAAAAACACTGAACTACACATTTTAAATAGAGATACTTGAATAAATTGATTTCATTTCAGAGTTGCTTGTGTACTTTTCTTAGTTTCATGAATACGTTTAGAGAGCTGTTATCGTGAAATTTAGGACAACCAGTGTGTAATACATGTGGGACTCTCTCAAACTTGAACTGTTGCTTTTGTTTGTTGTGTAACGTGCTCAAATGCTTAATGGTTTTGATGGTCATCAGCACTATTGTACTGAGCAATAATAAGATTTAGTACTTATTTAAAAAGAGTTGCTATACGGCCTCCCCTGGTGGTGCAGCGGTTGAGCGCAAGGCTGTGAAGCTGCCCGCAGCCTCTGTAGGGCTGGTTCAATCCCCGGCTGCCAGCGAGGGTCCCACATGGCACGCAGACCTCTCCTGCCATGCCTGCTGCTCCCCTCAGCAGTATATTTCGTTGGTCTGCCTGTTCTGTTCCCTGCTCTGGCTCTGGTGAATTCTCTCACCCTCCTGTGCTCCTGACCGTACCCAGTGCTTGTATAAATAAATTAATAAATCTTTAAAAAAAAAAAAGTTGCTCTATTCATGAACATTTAAATAATTACATATTAGAAGCAAAGAAATATGCGCCCATGGACCACTTTTACTCTACAAGTTAGAGCAAGAAGTACAAACCTGCTTGTACATCTTATAAATTGCTGAAATCAAATGGTAGTAATCTTTCAATACTTTGGGGGAAAAACTTTTAAGTCAGTAAAATGTAAACTTAAGTTTTACATTCTTCTATTTCCTTCGTAAACTTTCAGTTTTAGTATTGCTTATGTAAGTGAGCACAAAGGTCTATGAGAATGCTAACTTTTTGTTATAAGTAGGGCCTTTCGGAGGTGAGGGCAAGGCCAATTACAGCTATGCGTGTCCAGTCTATTTTGAGTAAGGCTGTTAGTAAATGGAATAGAGCTTCGGGTCTGGAGTCTGACTCCCTGGCCTTCTGTTCCAGCCTCACCATTCAGAGGCTGTGACACCCTGAGCTCACTACTCTATCTCTCTGTGCCTCGAACTTTTTATCTGTAAAGTAATCATCATCGTCATTATCATTATCCCTATTCCATAGGGTTTGGGGGAGTAAATAACAGAATTTAAAAAAACTCTGAAAATAATGCCAAGCAAATAGTATGCAATAAATGGTGTTAGCTAACACCACCATATTGTATGCATACAAAGGTCAATTTCTTCCTCTTATAATTATCTTTAATTACATCTAATGATGTAAAGCATCAAGAACTCAAGAGACTCCAAACCCCACAAGTTCTATGTCACTACAAGGATGAATGACATGGAGGGGAAAAACATTTTGCTCTTTACCTTTCGCAGAAGCTTATCATGGCAACGCAGAAGTTCAAAGAAGAGTTCTAACAAACTTGATGGGTTGATGAGATTCTTGTTTCTCAGCAAGATCAAAGCTTTGCAAAATGTCTTAGAAAAAAGAGAAAATATACTATAAGAAAATGAATTAAAGATGAGAAACTGGAGTATATACACTCCATAAAATTATGTTCTACTAACTGAGCATTATTCTAGATACCAGAACAGAACAGTCTTGGACCTTACACTAGGAATGGAGCAGAAGAAGGGCTAGACAGACAATGAACACATAAACAGGTGTAATTCAGATAATGAAAAGTATAATGAAGGAAGTAAAACAAGGTATCATAGCTGAAAAATAGTGAGTGATGGTTACTTTACACAGGAAAACAAAAAAGTATCAATATACAACAAAATTCCAGTGATCAATGAATCCACAAAGATGATAAAATCAAAAACACAATAAGAAAGCAAGCACGCACGGATTTATGGCCATGATAATATGCTTGAGTCTTATTCTATAAGTGAGAAACCACAAAAAGATTTTTTAAATGGGGTAAAATTCTGATTTACAATTCAAAAAGATATTTAGCTGAGACACTGTTCTCATTTAACCACATATTATATGCACACATGAATACAGCACAATTTTCTAATCCAAATATTGATCCTACCATTCGAAGATCTGGATCCAAGACAGTGTGATTGTAGAAGAGAAGATCTTTCAGCTCTTGAGGAAAGTTACTTAAATGTTCTGGGTAGCAGTGACCAATCTGTAACAAAGCAAAGGTTCTTCTGAAGTTTCTCTTTCTCTCCTATATTTCATATGCACTTACTTAGGATGTTCTGGAAAGGAGAGTAAAAGACTATGTTTCACAGAAGATAGTTCTAAACCTTCTCTTTTTTTCCCCATTTGCTTATGTAGACTTGCCCCTTTTTCTGCTCTCTTTTATAGTTCCTCTAGTTTTAGTAAAATATGTGTGAGGTGTTTTAGATAAATTAGAAAACAAGTAAATTTTATGATAAATTAGAAAACAAATAACTTGAAAGTTCTGCTCTGGATGGTTCCACGAAAAGCTCTAGTGAATTCTTCTAACATAGGGAAAGAATAAAAGTTCCAAAAAGGGATTTTTATTTTAAAAAAAAAATCTGTTTTAAAAATTAAACTTCCACTTCCAAATGAAAGAAGGTTGAATACTACTAGAAAAAGAGTTTGCAAATTGTGACAACTGTCCTTTTTCTATTCAAAAATTATCTTCTTACCTGTGCCAGAAACATCACCAGTTCTGCCAGTTCTTTGCTGGGTTTATTTGGTTGTAATTTGAAAATCTCCACATTGGATTTATAGTGATTGTACTGTTGTAAAAACTGTAAAAAAAAAAAAAAAAAAAATTAAGTTGGTTACCTTCTATTATATGACTTTCTCAATTTAAAAAATCAAAAAATTACTTAGCAGTCTTTGATAGTGACAGAGAGAAAAAGATGTGGTGAAAGTATATAGACATTGGGCCTCCCCGGTGGCGCAGCGGTTGAGCGCTGGGTTGCGAGGCTGCCCGTGGCCTCTGCAGCACAGGTTCGATTCCCAGCTGCTCCCCTGCCACCGGAGGAGGGTCCCACATGGCACGCAGACCTCTCCTGCCGCCTGCTGCTCCCCTCAGCAGTGTACTTTGGTCCTTCTGCCTGCTCTGCTCCCCGCTCTGGCTCTGGTGAATTCTCTCACCCTCCCGCGCTTCTGACTGTACCCAGTGCATGTATAAACAAAACAAAACAAACAAACAAACAAATAAATAAATAAATAAATCATGCCTCTATTAAAAAAAAAAGAAAGAAAGCATATAGACATTGCCATTGCCTTATGTGCATTCAAAATGAGTTTTGAAAAATTTAAGTACATCAGAGGCAATCTAAAGAAACTTTCATTATTAAAAATTTAGGTGGTGAGGGGCCTCCCTGGTGGTGCAGGGGTTAAAGATACAGTGTTTTCAAGCTGTCGGCAGCCACTGCAGCATGAGTTCCATCCTGGCTAGTCAGGCAGTCTTGACTGCTGCTGCCCTCAGCAGTGTATTTCGGTGGATTTACCCGTTCTGATCCCCACTCTCTCTGGTGAATCCTCTCACCCCCTGCACCTCTGGTTTATACTCCACTTCTTGTATGCATAAATAAATAAATCTTTTTTAAAAAAAAAAAACATTAAAAAAAATTTAGGTGGTGAGCCTCCCTGATGGCACAGGGGTTAAAGTCTCAGCACTATCAAGCTATCACCAGCCACTGAGGCCCAAGTTCAATCCCTACCAGGGAGCTAACCCACATAGTACAGCAGACTTCTGTGTTACCTGCTGTTCCCCTCAACAGTGTATCTCAGTAGATCTAACTGTTCTGCTCCCTACTCTGTCTCTGATGAATCCTCTCACTCTCCCACCCCCATACCTCTGGCCTAGACCCCAGTTCTTATATGCATAAATAAAATAAATCTAAAGAAACCCAAAAATTTAAGTAAAGAAGAGAAGTAAGAATCAAATAACTCAGATTTTGTTCCTGTTCTGTCATTTGTTATCCAAATAACCCCCTACAATGTTGTCTATGTATGTAGAGCACTCACATCAGCAAAAAAATACTGGGTGTAAATACTGGGTGAAAATGTAAATATATTTCAAGTACATGAAGCCTTCCAATCAAAATTCCCCTCTTCTTTTAAAAACTGATTAAAACCTTATCCCAGAGTTATAGATAAACTGTGTTAACAGTCAAAAGTAATATTCAGCTTGCTATTTGCCAAGCTCATTATGTATAACTTCATTTAATTATGTTTCATTCAATTAACAAATAACAATCTAATGTTGGAACTCAACAGGTATCAGTTCTATGCCTTCCATCTACTTTTCAATCCTAAACCATGGCTTTAAATTGTGTGTGTGTGAGAGAGAGACAGAGACAGAGACACTGGCACTATGACAAAGATGATTCCTTTATATTACCAGCCTAACTGCTCAAATAAACCCCAAATTCATAAATCCAACTGCCTGACATCTCCATTATATGCCTATCAGACATCTTAACTCAGCATGGTCAAAAAACAAAAACAAAAACAAAAAACAAACTTAACTCTTGATTTCCTCAACAAAACTGCTAGGTCTCTGTTTTCTCCAAGAGTAGGAGGCAAGAAAGAAACTTGTAGCTGCTACATGCTTCAGCTAAGACCCTACCTCTCTTGAGTCTGCCTGTCTCATCCTCTTATAACCACTTGCTGACTATAGTCATTCTCCACATTCCTCAAACACTCCAGTTCTTTGTTCATTGTATTATTACCCACGAACATAATTCCCCTCATAGCTTGTGGTGATTTCACATTCCATACCCTAGCCTCTCCCCTCCTTGATCTCACCTCTAGTCATCTTGAACTCTTATTCCACCTTAGCCCTCACTCCATGATCATATTCCAAATCTTGTCATTAGCAACAACTATAACTCTTTCATAATGTCCTCTAGAGGTGTTTCTTTTCCAGTTTCCATCTACTCTTTTCCATCTCTTTCTGACAGTATCCCAATCCCAACAGCCTCACTAGAATCCAGTCCAGTGAGCCTACTTCCTGTCCTCCGCACCCACTACCCAGCTTCTCAGCCAGCTTCAATTCCATGAGCAATCACTATAATCTCCTTCATGCACACACTTCAACTCACCACGCTGTCCCATTCTCTCATTGTGCTCATATGACAAATGCCCATGCGATGCTTTCCTTTTCCACGACTACACTCTCAGAGCTAAGCACAGTTGGAGAATTGGCTAACTAATCTCCTTTTAAATTCATTACCACAAGCCCCCAAAAGGATCGTAGTGCATTCTGGCAATCTTATCATACTTTCCTCCTCTCTAGACAACCACTTTGTGCTCTGTCTTCTGTTCTCAAACTCTCTCCCTATTCTCACTTTCAACTGATGATCTTGTCTTCAGTTTCACTAAGAGACTACACACAACCTGAGGATAATTGTCATACTTTAGCGCCCTTATTTAACCATGTAGCTTCATTTGGGTCCATACACATTACCTTCCCTCCTGCTGTGATAGTAAACTATCAGGTCATCATTTGATATCAGGTAAACCCACACCCTCTATTCAATCTAGGTTTTTGTTTCAGCAGTCTCCTCTTTCATTTTTTGTCTCAACAATTTCTGCACCCATCAGTAAACACATATGATGTCATTTCTGCCATCTTAAAAGAAACCTCTTACTCACACTTTAACTCCTGTTTACACTCCATTTCTTTCTTCTTTTCAGATAAAATCTTCAATGAGTTGTCCATAATTATTGCCCAATCACTTTCCATTCTCAAAAAAATTGTTTAAATTGATATAAAGCATACCATAAATTTACTCTTTCAAAGTGTACAATTCAGTGGCCTCCATATATTCACAAAGTTGTGTGACCATTATCACAATCTAATTTCATAATATTTTCCTCACCTCAAATAGAAACCGCTATCCCTTAATAGCCATTTTCTATTTCCCCTCAACCTCAAAGACCTGGTAACTACTAATCTTTCTCTCTCTATGCAGGTGCCTATTCTGGAAAGTTCATGTAAATGAACTCATACCCTAAATGTTTTTCAACCTATTCTACAGGCTTTATGGCCTCCATTCCTTTACTTAAACTGCTCATACTAAGGTAGCCAATGATATCCAAGTTGCTAAATTTAACAGTCAATTTCCACTGTTTATGATATTTGACTCATCAGTGTGAGATGCTTGATCTTTCCCACCCTGGGAGCCCTCTATACTTGGCTTCTAGGACATTAACAGATTTTCCTCCTACCTCACTGGCTGTTTTCTCAGTCCCTTTTGCTAATTATTTAGCAACTCAATAGCCTCTGGATGTTGGTGTTCCCTAGGACTTTCTGTACCTACCAGATATAGAATCTAATCACTTCTCCCCACTGTTACCATTTTGGTCCAAGCCACCATCTCCTGCTGTGGATAACTGCAACAGTCTCCTACCTGAGGTCTCTGCTTCTACAATCTACAATGGCTATTTAATTCATAGGGGTTCCTTTTTGTGGTGATGAAAATATTATGAAATTAGGTTGTGATAATGGTTATACAACTTTGCCCTCCTACAATCTGTTCTCAAAAGAAAACAACCAGAGTAACCCTGTTTTCATATAAGGAGGTTCATGTTTTCCTGCTCAAAACCTTCCAAAGGCTTCCATCTCAAGAGTAAAATCCAATGTTCCTACTAACATCTAGGTTTTATAAAATATAAAACCTCACCTCCTATTACTCCTGCTTCCCTCATTCCCATTTTATGCCATACTTCCTTCATAGTCCTCAGAACTAGTAGGCATATTCCTGCCTTTGGTTCCTTTTATTTAGTGTTCTTTCTGCCTAGGTCATTCTGACTCTAAATTATTTATACAGCTTCCCTCAACTCCCTTCAGATTTTATGCAAAAATATTTCAAGAAGGCCTTGACTAACCCATTTAAAATAGCAATAGCTCACTCATTCCTAACATTTTTTTTCTCCAAGCATTTACCATCATTTGGTATATTCTGCATTACTTGCTATTTCATGTCTCTACCTACTGGCATGTAATTTAATGAGGAAAGGATTTTAATCTGTACAGTTCATTACTATAGTCCCAGGGACTAGCACATAAGAGATATTCAACACTTGTCAGATGAATGAACCTCTGAAAGTAGTTTATCTACCTATCATCTACCTATACACAGAAATAAAAAAAAAAAAGAGTCACCCTTCATTCCTTCTGTTTTCCTTATTTCCCCACATCCTACCAGGAAGCCCTACTAACTATTTCCATGTAGAGCAAGCCCAAACTGTCAACTACTGCTGAAATTCCAGTGGCATCACCATTCTTTGCCTGGACTATTCCAAGTGCTATTGTATTAGTTACTCTGCCTCCAGCAATGTTTCTCTACAATCCATTCTATATACAGCCTCCAAAGTAAACTTTTAAAAATGTGCCACTCTAAAATAGATCATGTCACTCCTCTGCTTAAAACTCTTCAATGACCCTAATGAATTAAGAATAAAATATAAATTCCTTATCATGGCCCTAAAGGCCCTTCATGATCTGACCCCTGTGTGTATTTTCCACATCATCTTCCTCTACCCGCTTTTGTGCTCATTACACTTTAGTCACACTTGTTGCCTATTTCTTCTCCAAGAGCTACTGCACTTCTTATTCCTTTTGTCTAGAATGCTCTGGACCTGTCTGGCTCAGTATCATCATAGCAGAGAAGCTTCTCATGGAATCTAAAACAACAGCCTCCAATTCTAACATATTCCCACTGTTTCATTTATAGTCCTTACTACTCTATGCCTACCATTACTAGAACATACACCCAACATAAAAAAGGCACTCATATTGTCTTACCTACTGTTGTATCCCCAGAGCCTAGAGTCTAGAAGATAGACAGTAGATAAAATATATGTGGATTTGGATATATATTTGTTCAGTGAATGAAAGAGCAATCCACTGAATTAGGTTTATCTCCTCACGCTATGTACAGGCTCAGTGATAACCCTCCTTATTTACATAACTGGTCAACAGCAGAACCCAAATTTAGAGTTTGTTCTTAAACCAATGCTCTTAAATATAGCACTCTTCAGATTCTCAACTACTACTCTGTCAATCGTTGTACAGTGCTTTACACACCTCAAAACCTCACTTAGATGACTTCCTGCATCTGTTCCTTACTCTTTATCTCCACTGCCTTGATCTTTGGAAAGTCTCTCTACTAGTGACCTAAACCACTGACACCACTACTTGTCAAAAATCATTCAGATAAATATATTTAAGTGAAAATCTGGGGGTGGGGGGGAGGAAAATGAGAAGGCCAATTGTGTTCTTCTTGACCAAATCACAATGTAGTGAGGAAGATGCACAAAAAAGTAATTGCAGCAAAAGCTCCTAGGCAGAGATACCTGCTTGGTGCCTCTTTGAAGTAAGCACTTGCCAGGTTAATAAATTAAAACCACCACAACTTTCCCTTCATCACTTTTTGGTTTAAATACCCTTAACGTTCACAGTTTGTTCAAGTCAATACACAAAATTCCTCCTAATCTGGGTCTAATCTAACTATTCATCATTTTTCCTTGAAGAAAAATTCTAACATCCGAATCTTACTAGCTTTCGGTAATAATGAATCCTGGCTTAACTGGATATAATAAATTCCCGTGTCTGGTCCTTATATTTGAAAATTGCTCTTCCTTCCCGACAGTCCAGAAGACAAAGTGGACTCTCGGAAACAAACGTCAGCCGAAAGCATACGCTTCATTAAGCACTACCTGCTAACTCAAGTGAGGGGTTTCAAAACACAGAAGAGTGAGAAACCTGCTAGAAAGCTTAGAAGATAAATCCTAAAACAAAATGAGATTTTTAAGGGTGTCTCCCTGACGGCGGAGCAGAGAAAATCAAGAGGGGGTGTTTGCAAGAGGTGTGGAACGAACCCTGAGGCTTGTCCCTTGTCCAACGCCCTCTTTTCTCCTGAAGGACCCCTGAAGTTAACATCAGAACACGCTGTGAGCCAGAATCCCAGCTCCACCCTATGCCTCCCCCACGCCGATGGCTCAACTACTGGAACCCAGGCCCCTAACGATGTGGCGCTGCATTCCCACCTCCTCGATGTAGGCAGGCGGGTCCCGTTTGATCAAATTTTGTAACTGCGGCAGGTTGCTAGGGAGCTTGTTGTTGTTTCTGTTGGACATGCTGGCTGCCGATCGCTCCGCGCACTGCTGTTTTTAAGAAAGTCCACACCACTGGCAAGCTCCCACCTCGCCAGCAGCGGCTGGGAATCGTGCTTCCGAGTACGACCGGAAACAGCACATGGGAAGCACGGTAGGCAGCGCCATCTTGACTCTTAAAGGGACCGTGTACACTACGGGAGCCTCAGAGTGCCAAACTTACTTCCAAAGGCAAAAAAAAAAAAAAAGCTTGGTAAAGATTATGAGATTTTTATTTTCCTTCGCTCTCTTTAGGCCCGCCGCTACTACTGCAACAGTGTGGTCCCCATGGAAAGGGGAGTTTTCAGTTCCCCGTTCCTCCCAAGGGAGGGTGGAGCTGAGCAGGGAGGAGGAGAAGCTGGAGAGGAGACTGGGGAAGGAAGGAAGATGGGAAGCAACAAGGAGACCTGGGGGAGGCACGTGGAGCAGAGAGACATGGGAAGAAGCTGCATTTGCTTCTTGGGCTTGGACTGGTTGAAACAGATGTGGGTGAGAGACCCGTGGGGAGGTTAACAGAGGCAGTTTTTTTCTTGATTTTGATTTTGCTCCTTCTGTCCCAGACGTTCTGGGCCCCTTCTGTCTTATTTCTGTGGGTCCCCACCAGGAGGTGCCTTGGACTTGTGGCAGGCTTTCCGACCTCAGTGAGCCTGCTTTGGGCCAACCCTGTTTGGCTGGGCATTTACCCAGGAGGAGATGGGTAACTTTGGATGCATGATTTGGAATCTTTATTCTTCCCCTTTTCTGTTTTGCACACTAATTGTATTCAAATTCCTTTCTGAAAGGTCACAGGAGGCTGGAATGCAAAAGCCCACCAGAAAGCCCACCTGTCTAGAAAATTCAGACAATGAACCCCTCCCCGCCCTACAGTCTTTTCATGCTGTGCAAACCCCTTCTCCCACCTGACCTCTCCTCACCCTATAAAAGCCTGCCTCTCTCTAGAAACGTGTGCGGCTTCACCACTCCCACCTTTGGTCCGTGAATCCCACCGGGGCGCAATAAATTTCCCCCGCCTTGAAGAAATTTAGCCTGGCTCTTTTCTTTACCTGGCTGAACCTTTCACTTTCCATTAAAGGTCTTAACCCCTGTATTATGTTTTGTCTTGATGTGGCAGGTGGCAGAACCTATTTAGAACAGGCAAGTTTAGGGTTCCTGGGCTGCCACTCTTCCTGCCCTGTAACACTACTACCAAATGTTTCTGAAATGCGAAGACTTCTTTCACACATATTAGTTCATTGCATCCTCTCAACACACCTATGAAACAGAATGACGAGGATTAATCATTTATATTTAATTCCACAATCTGAAATTAGGTGCTTAAAAAAAATCCGTGAGGAGTAGATCACTGTTCAATTTTAGAGAGGGGAGAAAAAGCAATGAGGAGCACAAGTTTTTCTGTATAATCTTAAATACCTGATTTTGTATGTTTCAACTCAAGGTAATCCAGACAAAGAATAAAGGTGTGGACTGGATAAAATGTGATCATGTTGATCAGTTAAAAAAAATGCAAATTAGGGCCTCCCCTGGTGGCGCAGCGGATGAGCGCTGGGTTGCGAAGCTGCCCGCAGCCTCTGCGGCGCCGGTTCGATCCCCGGCTGCTCCCAGGCCACAGGAGGAGGGTCCCACATGGCGCGCAGACCTCTCCTGCCGCCCGCTGCTCCCCTCAGCAGTGTACTTCGGTCCTTCTGCCTGTTCTGCTCCCTGCTCTGGCTCTGGTGAATTCTCTCACCCTCCCGCGCTTCTGACTGTACCCAGTGCTTGTATGAATAAATAAATATATCTTTAAAAAAAAAAAATGCAAATTAATTTGTGTTCGAAAGCACCCATTATTATAACCTTTGTAAGTACTCTTTAGCCATTTTTAGTTCAGATCCTGGTAATTCAAAGAGAATATTTTTCTATAATCTCATGGTGTGCAAAAATAAATATGTATTAAAGAAATGAGATAGGGTGTTGTTAATATAAAAATACATTTGATCACTCACCCTGTGACAGACACTGTTCCAAGCACTTCACTTGTATTGACTCCTTTAATCCTCAGACCAGCTCCCTAAAATAGATTCTATAATGTCTGCTCTTTACAGATCCTCATGAGGAAAGAAGCTCAGAGAAGTTGATTGCCCAAATTCATAGCTAGTGAGAAGATGGGATTTCAATCCAGGCAGCTTTGATTGTAACTACATGAGAAAGGAAAAAGTAATTTGGTAGCTGGTAGCTGGGCTTATTCATAGTTGTACAGTGTTGTTCTCCTTAACATAAATAATTTCACAGAACACCATCTTCAGCCCAGGTCATCTGTGACTGCCAGGAAATGAGCCCAAAACAAGAGAAGTCTGTAATCATACCTGAGCACAAATAAAATCAGGTATGTTGTGCCCAGTTTTTCAGTTGCATTTGGAGAATGACCTTTTATTAATCACTAAAGCAGGAACTTGTTAAGTTATTAAGCAGTTAATGTATGCAATAAATATATTTTTAAAAGATTTATTTATTTATGCATACAGGAACTGGGGTACAGACCAGAGATGGGGGGGGTGAGAGGATTGACCAGAGACAGAGTGGGGAACAGAACAGGCAGATTCACTGAAATACACTGCTGAGGGGAGCAGCGGGTGAGCCAGGAGAGGTCTGCTGTGCCATGTGAGTAGCTCCCTGGCCAGGGATGGAACTCGTGCTGCAGTGGCTGCGGAGAGCTTCATAGGTTACGTCTTTACCCCTTGTACCACCAGGGAGGCCCCTATGCAATAAATCTTTATAACTCATTCATAAATTTAAAAGTAAAAAAATTTTTGGTGAGATTGTGCTATTGAGGAAAAAATTATCAAAACATATATTGAAATTATTGAATATAATTCATCAAAACCGTAAGCTTATGTGCTATGAATATTTAAGTCATCAAAATAAATTGTGACATAAACATTCATGTCATGACACAAGCTTTTATGCGCAATGCATGTTGTCAGATACTAGAGTAAGTACTAGGAATACAAAATAAATAAGGTATGGGCATTTGCCCTCAGGAAACTCAGAGTCTCATGAGGGACACTAATAAACACACTAAATATTATAGTATCATAAACCAATCATTAATCAATACATTAAAAAAAATTTTTCACTTACAACCCAGCCTAGAGAAATCAGAAATAGACAAAGCGCTATTTGATTAAAATTCTCAGTGAAGAGTTTTTCTGGAGGAGGAAAAGGAAGCCTCTCTACCTAAAGAAAATAACCTGTAAAAAGGCACAAAGACTTGGAAAAGTCTTGTAGATTTCAAGGATGGCCAGAAGTTTGATTTGACCAAAGACTGGGAAAGGAGCAAGCTGCAAGGCAGGAATGAGAAAAAACAAGTGAGGTTATGCAGTCCTGATAGTCACAGGCATTACATGCTAATACAAGGAGGCCATGGAGGTTAGCTCTTCTTACTTCCCAGTACCCTGAAAGCAGGATTGATTGATTGATTGATTATTTTTTGTTTGATAGGTGAGAAAAAGAAGGCTGAGAGTGGCTAATTGAATACAGCAGTTGCCCCTTGGAATGGGATGCATTCCACGACCCCCAGTGGATGCCTGAAACCACATAAAGTACCGAAACCTATATTTTTCCTATACTTATATACCTATGATAAAGTCTAATTTATAAGTTAGACACACTAGGAGATTAACAACAGTAGCTAATAATAAAGTAGAGCAGTTGTAATAACACAGTGCAATGAAAGTTTTGTGAATGTGGCCGTTCTCTCTAAAAATATTTTATTGTACTAATATTTTCAGACCCCAATTAACTATGAGTAACTGAAAGTACAGAAGTGAAAATAAGTACAATATGTATTTAGAGTGGTTAACTGAATATGCATTTTTAAAATGTGAAAAAAATGATTATACTATGTGTAATGTAACATATATGTGTTAAATGTATATTGGCCAGATTATACCAAGAAAATGCTATTTCTTTATTTATTCTTGCATTGGTAAAGGGACTCTTCTTTTTCTAATTCCCAAATGATGATTAACCTCAATTGAATTATTCTAGAGAAAGAAAATCTTCTCAATGCCTTTGCAAAAGAGATCCTATTATAATTTATAAAATATATCATACTATCTAGACTCCAATATATTTTTTAAAATTTATTTATGCCTAGAACTGGGGTATAGGCCAGAGTTGCGAGAGGTGAGAGGATTCACCAGAGACAGTGGGGAGCAGAACAGGTGGATTTACTGAAACACACTGCTGAGGGGAGCAGCGGGCAAGAACGGAGAGGTCTGCTTCACCACATGTGGGTCAGCTCCTTGGCAGGATCTAATGCAGGGTGCAGCTGTGATAGTGCTGCATCTTAACCCCTAGACTACCAGGGAGACCCTGGACTCCATTATATTAAGAATTTCTTCATTGGAAGGGGTCTAGGCTACAGGTCCCTCAATAGAGATTATATTAAATTTTGATTACATGAGGAGTATACTCTTCTTACTTAGAATTTTATCTTTATTTGGGATGGTTGAAGGGCTGCTTAAGATAGTCCAGATAGCAACTCGAGCACAGTCTTTTTTTTATTTTTTAGGATTTATTTATTTATGCATACAAGACCTGGGGTACAGGCCAGAGGTGTGGGTGGTAAGAAGGTTCACCAGAGACAGAGTGGGTAGCAGAACAGTGGATCTACTGAAATACACTGCTGAGGGGAACAGCGGGAGAGAGGAGAGGTCTGCTGCGCCATGTGGGTAACTCCCTGGCCAGGATCAAACTTGTGCTGCTGTGGCTCAGGATAGCTTCATAGTGCTGAGGCTTAACCCTTTGCGACACCAGAGAGGCCCTGGAGCACAGTCTTGACCCATTAAGTGAATGACCAAAAGTACTGCCTTTATGGAAAGTAATGGGAAGGAGGAAGTTGGGGAATCACAAAAAGATGCATCTTCCAGCTGAATTAGCCCTACAAGAGTTTCAAATATTGTAACACCTTTGAATGTATCTCATTAGTCAGGACTTAGTGAAATGGACAGTCCAACAAGGGATATGTGAGATTCCATCCTTATGATAATATATTTATTTTACAGTTTTATTATGATATAATTAACACACAAGAAACTGGCCATAAAGTGTAGAATTTGATGAGATTTGAGAAATGTATGCAC